AAATTCGCATTTAGACGGATAAATCAGACAAGTTTCTGATATAAGCACCGTCAAGGACGGAACAAAGCTAAGGGAAACTAAAAAAAATTATTACCGTAATAATTACTCATTACCCGAACCATCATACGTATAAATTCATCCATATATAGTCCAATTCATATTCAGACGGGTTTCCTGATCGACTGCGATCAACTTTCCAGTCTAAGATGAGTTTCTAATATGAATCCGCCCTAATATGAATTCGGCTATTCTTAATTCTTGTAGTTTTTTTCTTTTAAACCTATTTTGAAATGCATTAATAATTCTCGTACTTTACTTTGATTTCACTTCATTAAAAATACAAAACAATCCCACCGTAACCATTAGCTTCACTTGAGCCGCATATAACTAACTTATGGAGAGATAGTGCTTTATTCATGGCACTGCGTAACTGTATGTGAGATTTTAAACACAAGTGGCTAATATTAGGTTACAACTTACAAGCTACGAATACGATACAATTGTGTGCGTTTTAGACGAGAAAAAATCATGAACATGAAACGGAACTCATTTAAATTGTTAGTTTCACTTAAGATCCTACCCAAAAGGTATTCAGTAAAATAAAAACGTGTAGTATTTCACCGCAAGATCGTGCGGGGTCTACTGGTAAAGGCAGTGCTCTCCGTGTATAAAGGCTGAAGTTCGTGTCCCAGATGGGAATGCTTTTTTTTTCTATTTCATCAAAGATCCTTCCAAAAAGGATTAAGTAAAATAAAAAACTCTAGGCTTACACCACAAGAACTGGTGGTGTAATGGTGAAGACGATGATCTGCCAAGTATACAGTCGATGGTTCAAGCCCGGGATTAACCGAAAAAGAAAAAGGTAATAAAGTGAGAATTTGTGAGTGTGAGAGGAGTAGAGTGAGAGGGCGAATATGCCCTCGCCTTGGGCGAGGAGTAGACTGAGGGGGGTTCTCTTTCCCCCGGCTTTCCTGACTTTCAAAGCAAGCTTTCTTCAAACATTTAATCGCTTTAGGGGGTAATCAGGGATACATGAGGATAGGTAAAAGCATGGATAGATAGGAGTAAATAGGGGGATAAATAGGGGGATAAATAGGGGTAAAGAGGTTTAAATGAGTACAAAAAGACTTAAACATTTTATATGGTGCCTCCTCACCTATACCCTTTTCCTTGCCCCGGGAGCCGAGGCCGCCCAACTACTCTTTTTTTATTACTAAGTCTTTTTGTACTCATATACCCCTCATTCACCCTACATATCCCCTGATTTCCCTAAAGATTAACTTTGATTGGCAAAGATTAACCGAGTACAAACCTCCACCGAGCAGCATACCTACCATTTTTTCTTTTTTTTTTCTTTTGCATTCCACCGCCATGAGAAACGTCCCATACTGTGCTTGATACCACGATCTTGTACTTGATAGTCCACGACTTTACCACAAGGCTAACTGGTGATTGTTGGAAGCCTACACCAACTTATTCTCCATAACCTTACCATATGTTTGATTAATAACGAAAATTTTTATCTAAAACGAGATTCGAACCCTTGACTGTCGACACATGAGACTAACGTCTTGACTACAACCCTAGAAGATCTTGTGCTCGACGGCTCTTGTTATTTAATTTACTCGATCCTTCTCACGAAGTTCATAATGAAAAACGGTTATAGTAGGATTAGAACCATCGATTTACCACTTGGGAGACCATTGTCTTTTCCACTAAACGACTACATTTTGTGCTGAACGGCTATGGTTATTTAATTAATTTACTTTATCCTTTTCGCCAAGTAGATAATGAAAAACAGCGGTACTTGGATTCAAACCATCGACTTACCACTTCGAAAACCATTGCCTTTGGCACTAGATTTTGTACTAAACGCTTACTATTATTTAATTTACTTTATCCTCTCTTCGAAGAATATAATGAAAAACAGTTACACTCGGATTCAGACCACGGACTTGTCACTTGGGAGTCAATTGTTTTCATCACTAGACTAGGAGATTTTGTGTTGAACGGCTATGGTTATTTAATTCACTTTATCCTTTTCCACAAGGACATAATGAAAAACAGCGATACTTGGATTCGAACCATCGACTTACCATTTCGGAGACAATTGCCTTCGCCACTAGACCACTGAATCTTGTGTTGAACGACTACGGTAATTTAATTTATCTTATCCTTTTCTCGAAGGACATAATGATAAACAAACATGCTTGGACTCGGGCTTGGAATGCTTTTGCATTCCACCGACCCGGGAGTGCACTACCTTCACCACTAGACCGGTAGAACTTATTACTTATTAATAAATTAATTATTTCAATGAGTTTATCAGTTTTGTTTGATGATGATTTATTTTCGTGTTAAAAACGCACATAACTGTACATACCTTTATTCGTAGCTTTAACCTAATATCAACCATTTGTGTGTTGACACTTAAATATTATGCACAGGTATGAAACCCATGAGCAAAGGAGCATATCATCTCAACATTAGCTAGTTATATATGGCCAAGATGAAGCTAATGGTTACGGTGCGATTGTTTTTGTATATTCAATGAAGTCAAGTCTGATTTCACAGGTCACAAATTTCGTAGTTTCATTAAATTGTTTCAACATTCACAGCTGAAATTGTACTTCAACATTCTAGGCAACAGATATTAAGGCCCCGTTCACACCATGATTTCCTGAGCGACTATAGTTATTTATTTCGCCTAATCTTTTTATTTAAGGTCATGAGAAAAAGAGCTTTTACGGGATTTAAGCCATCGTCCTATTACTTCGGACACTAATCTTCTTCACCAATATACACCACAAGAACACACACAACGCAACCACGGTTATCTATTTTACCTGGCTAATCATTTTCTTCAAGGTAATAGTAAAAAAACTTTTACGGCATTCGAACCAGTGATTTACTACTTGGGAGACCATCTTAAAGATCATCCATATATAGTCTTACTATTTTGCCTAATCTTTTTGCGTTAGGACAACAGGTAAAAACATTTCACACAGGATTCGAACTTACTGACTTTTGTCTTCACAGCTACAATACAAACTTACGTACCACTTTGAAAAAATATTTCTACAGGATATCATGAAGATATAGTGCACAGCGACGATGGTTAGTAATTTTATCTAATCCTGGCTTCTTTTGGGTGACGACGTACGACTTGCCTGTGGGTGACCACAAAGCCACATAGCATCGGGGTTTTTTATTTAACCCAATGTGTGGCTCTAATATACGTCGTGTTTCTCATATAATTTGGCCGAAACAAAATTTTCAACACTTCCAATTGTTGTTGCCATAGTTAAATGGCTGTTAAGATCACCCGGGGGTGAGCTCAGACTTAGAGTCCATTTGGGTTCACTATAACACGACTCGAAGCTTGTAATCACCTGTAACTTGTTGCCAGTGGCGTAGCCAGCCTGACGATTTTGTCCCGTTATGTAAATTTCGAGTTATTATAATTATTCATGTCTTTAGAAATCTATTGTTTTCTCAGGAAGTGAACCGACTAAGATATTAGCATAGCGGGACAAATTGATAGGCTGGCTACGCTACTGCTCGTTGCCTTTATTTGTCTTTTTACTTGACTTTTACACAGTCGGGACCACATGTATGTTAATTGGTATATTAAGAAACATTATTTTAATTTTGAAATTGTAAATGCATGTTCAGTTGATTTAATTGTTATGCTGTTTTCAGACCTCATGATGTTTTGAAAAGAAGGCTATTGTTGCAGGCAATTCAATTTGTTATTGATTTATTAAAATTCATGCGAGTTAATGAGTTTCAGGCAACAATGCGCCTTACAGTTGATGCATGCAATTAGCAAATTATCCGAACACGGAAATTCTGAAAACCCAGCAGAATTCTTTAATTTGTCCAAAATAAGCATACTCCATCCGTGACCACAAGGCTGATGAAGTGCGTCATAAACCGAAGAATGTCTCATCAGTTTCCAAACGCTTTTAACAGCAGTGGGTCAACTCCTATCACTATGAAGACTAAAAAACGTAGGACAGATAATATATCAGTTTCAGATCGCGCATTACACGGGTAACAATGTTTTCCCATCCCTTGCGTGATTGCGTCACCCCTTGAAACGGTGCGTTGAAATGTTCAAGGACATTGAAAAGCCGTTGAAAGTTGAAACCCACGACTATGTTAATAGAATATTTACAACGTTTTTTGAGAGGTAACTAGGTCATATTATTGCGATCAGGAAACAATTAAGGCAATATATCTACTTTTATTATATACACAAGCGCCAGATATGAGGTATGCTGCAATTTCGTTGGTTGGCTAGAACATCCCACATAGAGAAAGTAAACAAAATGGCAGAAAGATTTGGGGAGTCGAGTGAAATAGAAATCCAAGCTTTAGATGATAATAGCACACCAAAATGCACCGAAAGGGCGACAAAGTTTACGCGCCTCGTCGGCTATCAACTCATATACGACTCGAATTCGCAGAATAACTGTAAAATATTGGCAGGCGAGTTGAGCAATTTCCTCTACTTATTTCGACAGTTAATTTCAACGGTTGATTTCGAGTTTTCGTCGGTTGATCATGAAGATTTCCCCGTACGAGACCTACCTTAAACGTAGTATTTTGGGAGCGTCGAATGCAATTGAAAGAAAAAGAAGATTAGATGATTATGACGCCTGTGATCTCGTATCTATGATTAAAATTACATTAGTCGCGTATATAGTGCGACCTAAAAGCCAGACTTTACTCCTTGATTAATATTAAGTGAAAGAAAATGTTAAACATCCAACATACTTAGGAACCTTGTGAGATATTAGGTAGGAGTGGCAAGGTATAATGAATTGCGAGTATATGAAAGCAACTGTGCTTGAATACACTATCTTGGTTTATACGGATTTTTCACTAAATAGCCTGGCTATGTGATGCGGCACAAAATATTCATGTATGCCTCAATTGTAATAATGCAGTCAAGAGATTCTTGAATTTCAATTACCTGCACGCATGGTAAGCGATAGATTGAGATAAATGTTATTACAGAAATTATGGATGATAAGAAATCTTATTCAGATCATTTCTCAATCTGTCGTAAATTATGGTGGGAAATCTTTTAAGCTCACGTACGGTCTCAGCAAATGCGAACGCATGCAGTTCCCTGTAACTTCCCTTGTAGGAGCACTAGATGCGATGACAGCCCCTTAAACCTTGTGCAAATAAGATGAAGCTTCACTTATGGAGGTTTGCCAAACACGGCGTGCTGCCAAAAATACGTCAAAATCGCGTGGGAATCTTTCTAGCGAGGAATATTGTATTACGCGCAAACTATTGCAGTGTTACAAAAATAAAAGGATTATGCTTTCAAACCGTTAGCGAGGAAGACTTTCCATGGGTTATATGTGACGGCATGCTAGATTCCATGAAGTTCAACTTGTGTACTAATTATTCGCTGTATTGGCACTGAATTTGGTAACCATGCATTACGTGCCATTTGACATGATTTCCTTACTCCACTTACAAATATATCCCACCAAGTAGACCACACCATTTTACGGCCTATATATTTGCGTGATTGCGGGTATTTAAGACGAACATTTAAAAAACATTGACGCAATACCCCACGCAATGGATAACGGACAAGCGCGGCCAGTCTTGCATGGGTGGGTCAGTAACCGTCTCCCTATAATCGTCAATGTATGGGTGTGCCAATGAGCGTTGTAATACATCTTAACGACCGGCGCCACGCACTGAGAAATGTCATCGGAAAATAACGGTCGTTTTGAGTGTGAGAAAAGATAACGAAACTTTGATAGCGCCAGACAGTATATAAAAGCAGGATGTTTGTAGTCCTAAGTAATCGAGCGTAGACCTCTTTCAAGAAGGAAGCTAGCTAAATTGAGTTAAATACTGACAGAAAATATATTAGACAAAAATCGGAGAAAATGGCGCAATGGTTGATGATCTTATCGCTGTTTGTTCACAACAGTTTTGCTTCCAGTCTGTACGACAAAATAGACGGTATTTGATTTTGTTTATAAAAAGTATTTAGTGTTTTTTTAGTATGAGATGGTCAATGCATTGGCCACAAAAACGTATATATCAAGCCCTTAATTACGCATCATCGCTGCGGCTTTGCCGTAAAGTAAATTGATTAATTCCTTGCGATATGTGGTGTAAAAATAGCCCTCTATCTTTGGTGGCATGATCATGCTAATTCAGCAGGCCTTCATTGTCAGTGACAGTCGGCGATACCTAATATCGACATAATCACTAGAGAATAAAGTGCTTTGTTAATTTAAATAAATTTTGTTCCTTATTGGCCACTAAAAAATAATACGACTGCCAGGGCTTTCAATAATTATAACTTAACTTTAATCCTGGAATTCGAAACGACTCTGAAATTGCAGACTTTCCAGGCTAAATTGCAACACTATTGCAGTCTCTATTGCATTCTAGAACTATATTTGTATGCATAACTCAATTCAATAATATTTTAATAAAGGAATATAGTAATTGCATTAAAGAACTCACATTCGCCTGCATTATATTTCTCCTGAACAGATTATCATTTTGAACGACGAGGAATTCCATCCATAGAGACTGAAGAGAAAGATACAGGTATAGTGTTCTGTAAAACTGCCAGACTATGATGGCAAAACCTGAATAGCTTTAGCTAATTACCATATTTTTATAATTTTTATAATGTAATTGTCTTTTACGAAACTACTCCAAACCTTTAATTAATCAAGATATTCTACGCTTAGTACTGCGAAGGGAATTTAATGGGGAACTTAAAGATACATTTCATGAAGATATGGCAGTCAATTTCACAACTATACTCTCAGTGTCATATATACTATCGTTATCATACGACTTTATATTACGTAAAAAACATAAAGTATGAGATTAATTAAATTTCATCAAATTTCAGATTGCATTAAAGATATCCTCGTTGTCTGGGACAACTCCCAATCGGTTGGCTTGAAAAATTTTGAGCAGAATGTGCGACCATTTCTAAAGAGCCTTATCGTAAATAAGAAGCTGAACGTTGGAGAATACGGCAGCCATATTGGTTTTATCACATTTGCTAGTGATGGAAAGACCGAAAACTTGTTGGAGATTGGATCAAAGAATGATAAAAATGATCTGCTTTCTTGGCTGGACAACTTGGACTATGTGAATGATCTTATGGGGCCATCTACTTACACAGGCAAAGCATTCAAGCTTGCAAGCGATGTAAGTCAGTACACAGGCTGTGTTATAAAACAGATTAATTCCGACAACTGTGTGTTTGCATCATACTTTGCATGATTAGTCACAAATATAACATATATGAGAGAGTTCTTTCCCTTCGTATGCACGTGCATTTTACATAAATACTCGTCGCGAATGAGAGAGAAAATTCAGTGTAAATGCATGCTTGATGCGCATAACGTCATTTGACGCGTCATTTGCATGTTAATCACAACACACTTGTGCAATATAAACACGTTAAGTACTCTTCATGTAAACACGTATAAAGCAACGGTGCTTAATTCACTAGATTTTTTAGTTATATGTCAGATGAGACAAATTTAAGGCCATTTTAAATGTGTATGATCGTAAAACCACCAAAAGTAATTTCCAGAAGAAATGGGAGAGAGCGCTTTTTTACTCTCTCTACCTATATACCTATATCTCCCTCTCTACCCTGTCACTGCAAGCCAGTGCTTTCAGTATTTCAATAATCTATATTTCATAGTGTCTGAAATAAATTAAATTCGATTTAATTATAAGTGATTTTATTGAAGTGAGTAACAATTCTGTTTTGAGTCATAACACGGTTATAGAGCATGATCTGCGATGGTCACTTGTTTTCAATAGAATATAGATTATATAGAATTCTTTTCATCTAATTCTCAGGCCTCTGTATCCCATGATAATTATATATCATCCTTGCTTAATAAATTAAGGATATACTTTCTTCCAAATCAAGGAATTCAGGTTAAGAAGTCCTTTAAATCATCGGAAAGATGTAAGCGACGTCATTCTGTTGATCACAGACGGGGAGCCACGGGCTAGAAACAGTACAATATTAAGAGAACAAATTGAGATGGCTAATGAGTATTCAGCAGAGCTTATGGATAGAAAGGTGTTAATTGTCGCCCTGGCAGTTGGACCCGAAGCAAAAGAAGAAAGATTCGTAAATAATATCGTTTCTTGGTCGAACCATATGTTCACTTCAGGGTTTGATGATTTGGACAAGGTTTTGGGAAAAATTGTTAAAGAATCCTGCAGTGTTGAAACAGGTAACTTGAGATCTGTTTATAATCATACGATCCAATTTTGTCGGATCCATTTACTTCTGACGTCCTGTATGGAATAAAGTCTGTTATTAATAAAGCAGTACTGCATTGGCGTTAGCTGATTTGCTGCCCATGTACATTGCAAATTAACAGACAATAAGACAGCCTTTAGAAGTGAATTGGATTGATCGACAGCACTGGAACATGTGAAAAGGCCTTTATATATTTACGTACTAGTAATGGTATAAGAAGTTGTAAACACGGTAGACGAATATTAATTGTTAGTCCATGATATACTACGGTTGTTCCAACATGTTGCTTTATGGTATTTAAAAATTGGTGAATACCATGCCATAGTTGTAAGTGGTATGTTATTGTTAGTCAATGGTACGTATTTTTGGTCCATGAAATAATGTTCCTGTATATGGTGGACTGTTGTCTAAGCTGTTCGTGTTACCCAATGTTTCGGTTCCAAAATTAATCATAGGTAATTAACGTCAAAGTTTGAAAATCAGTGTCATTTTGCAATTTCAACAGTGTATTGTGATTGTGAAGGCGGGATATCTACAGAGCAGTATGTCAGGCCGGGTGAAGATAAGATAATGATAAATTGGTTGGAGCCAAGACTCCGATGTACACGGCCGGTTGATTACACGGCGGAGGTAAAACCTCATGGCACACAAAATCCACAGGAATTTGGACTTGGAATGCACATCATTACCTACGAATTCTCCTACTATGGTCGTACCGACAAGCTTACAACCCGTGCTTGTTTTGTCGACATTACAGTTTATGGTAAGTCTTGACAATGTCTAATATTTTGACGCCTTTTTGTTTCCAACATGCATGTCCTGCAAATTATAACTTTCTGTTACCATTTTGCTGACCACAGAAATGGAGTTAGGCATGAAGTGCACTCTTTGCTAAAAATGGAAAGAATCCACGATAACACCTAAATCCATTTCGATTTTCATTCAGAAGTATTTCCCGTTATCATACAGAGATCTTTTGAATGTGGTGTAATATTTGTGCTATTAATCTAAAAATATTAAACTCATTAATTATAGATTTTGTTACTATTAAATCATCAGTGCAATTTTCACCTAATTGAAAGTTATGTAACTGAGGTTTTTATAAAGGCAATTCGAATAGGTCATTGTTGATTTTATTGATTTAGCTGGTTTCTTTGTAATGTCACTTGAACAGAATTACTTTGTTTTTTTAGCCTGCGAATGTCCTAGTGTGCAGACTATAACAGCCACTGTTGAGTATGGACAACCAAGAGCATTTGTGAGTTGGTGGGAACCCGAACCAGATTGTCCGAATACGCCAAGCAGAGGCAATCCGGATCGCAATCATGGATGGTTCACGGTTGGTGAACACACAATGATGTACAACTACAAACACGAAACATATCTTCAAAGTTTTAACATAGAATGTCATGTAAACATTATTGTAACCGCTGCATGATTCACCCAGCATGATAACGTAATTACTATAGTGGGCATTGCATGTCCTATAGTCGAAACTTTGTAAATCCTATACTTTATAATATTTTGTAGCAAATATTTAAAGCAAATAAGAACATTCATTTTACCCATTCTACGAAATTGACTGTTTTTCGACAGTGGCCAGCTTCCAACAATGCTTATAGAGATGAGTAAGTTCAAAATTTTTCACTTCGCTGCGGTGCGTTGTCCGGCGGACTCGCGCGATTTTGCAAGGTTCAAAATTCACCCAAGTAAGTGGGCCAGCGATATTTGTCAGGTCAGCACGCCAATATAGTATATGCTAGTTTTGTCCCATTACATGTGAGATTAATACAAAACTCCACAGAAGGATTTTTTTTCAAGCGGGTTAGTCATATATCAATTAGCTAATATAAATGCAGCAATCTGTAATTTTCCGGTATAATTCCACGATATTGTTGTTTTCCCGTTATATTCGACCATGGTCGAGTATACCGTTTCCGGCGTATTCGACCATAGTCATGAAAGTATATCGTTTTCCGGCACAATCGACCATGGTCGAGTAGCTATGCCGTTTTCCGATGTATTCGACCATGGTCGAGTATACCGTTTTCCGGCCATATTCGATGCCTGCAAGTTGCAACTTTATATTAGATGTTTGTATATGAGCACCAAACATAATAGGACCAGCATTTGACCATTTAACCTGTGTGGTTATCGATATCAAAATATTTGACATCATAACCAAAGCATGGTTATATTGTTTAATGTTTGTATATGAGCACCAAACATGTTTGAAACTTTGCATAGGACCAGCATTTGACCATTTAACCTGCGTGGTTATCGATATCAAAATATTTGACATCATAACAAAAGCATGGTTATATTGTTTAATGGTTGTATATGAGCACCAAACATGTTTGAAACTTTACATAAGACCAGCATTTGACCATTTAACCTGCGTGGTTGCCCATTTTAAAATATTTGACATCATAACCAAAGCATGGTTATATTGTTTAATGGTTGCATATGAGCACCAAACATGTTTGAAACTTTGCATAGGACCAGCATTTGACCATTTAATCTGCGTGGTTATCGATATCAAAATATTTGACATCATAACCAAAGCATGGTTATATTGTTTAATCGTTGTATAAGAGCACCAAACATGTTTGAAACTTTACATAGGACCAGCATTTGACCATTTAACCTGCGTGGTTATCGATATCAAAATATTTGACATCATAACCAATGCATGGTTATATTGTTTAATGGTTGTATATGAGCACCAAACATGTTTGAAACATTACATAGGACAATTATTTGAACGTTTAACCTGCGTGGTTATCAATATCAAAATATTTGACATCATAACCAAAGCATGCATGGTTAATATAGTTTAATGGTTGTATATGAGCACAAAACATGCTTGAAACTTTACATAGGACAAGCATTTGACCATTAAAACAGGGTGGTTAGCTTGTATTTTAGTTTGTTTTAAATCACTTCAAAATACACAATCTTCTCGTCCAGGTCTGCATGGTTATACGTCGCATTTTCGTCGTGTCAATAAACAATAGCTATGAGTCGGCTAGTCCGACTATATTCGGTCTCTAATTGTAGGCTCATGTCACCCGTGACAATAAAAATTGTCACCAACACATAATATCTTTTCAACTTCATGTCACGCTTGTCCAGGAGCCGCTGTAAATAGCGAAAAAAGGCGGATTTCCACTCAGTGCAAAATGTCGCGCGATCGCTTTCTTTTCAAATGTGTCCAGTCAAGCTCATCTAACGGTATTAGTATTTACAGGGTGAGTAAAAAAAACCTGACACCTTTGAAATTCAAATTAGCTGCATAGCGGCTGTAATGTCACAGATATTGTCTAAGATATCTCATGGCTATACGAAGCATATCAAATAAGTGAGCCATTAATTAACCTAGAACATAAAGTTTGTTCCCTTTGAGAGTTAAAATGCATTCTAAGCCCTGTAAATAAAGAAGAACAGTTTTATCAAATCGTTTTTTAGCACACGCGCCACGTTGAGTTAGTTCAATTGGTTTAAACACTTTCGCATTAATTAACCACGTCCTGTTGATTGTACATTCACATGGGTCTGTCATGGAAATTGTCAAATTCCAGCCATAAGTTCGCGGCTAATTTGAATTTCAAAGTGTCAGGTTTTTTTACTCACCCTGTATATTCCGCCTGATTGTCTATATATTTCAAAAGAAAGCGATCGCAAAAAGTCGATCGTGCGACATTTCGCACTGAATGGAAATAAAATAGTTCGAGACCAGCAGCATGAATATGTTATTTAATATTTATTAATGTATATTGTTTATTAAAAATATATACATGAACAAAATATATAGCCAATATGGTATATAATATATAGTATCATTCTCTAAATTAATTTTTTCTTTATTTTCCTTAAATTATTTCTGCTTGCTGTACAATCCAGCTAGTCTCTGATAATACTCTGGATAATTACGTAGCAACTGGAAAATCTTAACTAACGTTCGATTCTCGTAAAAATATAGACTCATAAACTTTGGTTTTCCTTTTCACAAGTATAATTCCTATATCCAGTGTATTATGAGACCAGAACGTACATCTATTCTCTAATACTAAAGATATATCCACAATTTGTTTTATCGGTGCATTTACTCTGTGTCACAGTATAAACTGAGCTAATTTCTCATCCTTCCTAATAAAATAACGACATTCTATGAACAGTTTCCAGAATCTACAATGGTCGACGCCCATTTGAACTCGGTTTTATCGCGAACTAAAACTATGCTTATTAACATTTTAAAAAAGTATGGTTTCGTGATCTAAAACTACAAGTTCATAGTTTTTCATAAGGATTGAGGGTGGCCGAGTGATATTAACTTATGGCGTGCGTTGTTTACATTACTACCTTATTTTTGAGGTCCAAACCCCATCCACGATTACATTTTATTCTCATTTTATGGTGGGTTATGATGGTTATGATGGGGTGAGCTAGGTTCATTTTTAGGTATATTTATGCATTCATATTTAAAGAATCATTTACGACTTTTTACAACGATGAACGAGTCAGCGAACTTTATAAAGGTGGTTTTCGACCACTAGGCAACTAGTGGAAAACCGCCTTTATAGAGTTCGCTGACTCGTTCTATTGTTTTTCTCGACGAAATCTTCGACCGTGAAGAAAAAAGAAATAGGCACTAGCACCTAATTCGGCTTCAAATTGACTTTAAAAATGGCGACCTGGTTATTGTTCCAGTTTTTATATAGTCCTCTGAGCTATTCAAATAATTTGATGCGATTTGATGTGACTTACAGCAAGACACATGGCGGTCGCTTCTTCGCAATGATAGCGCGATGAAGACGAATCTCGCACTTCCGGTTTACTCACTGCTAAAAAACTTCCTAATGTCTTTATTGAGGCTTCGTTCATGTCATTTCTATGTCGAATGCGGTTTTAGTATATTATTTCGATTTTATGATCACAATTGCCTCCACGCGCCATTCGTCAGCGGCTCAACCAAGTCCAGTTTGTCGAGATCCTTTAAGCAATCCGTCAGCTTTGTTCGCGAAAAGTCATGTTGGTTGTTGATGATCGACAAAACTTTTTCTGCCCTTGAACGATCGTCATTGTAGAAATTATTCGTTTGGATGTTATCTATTTCTGGTTTGTCTACATCCATAAGACAAGCAAAACGTGCCCAGAAGAGCAATATACGCCGACTTAATCTGTACATTCACGTGGGGAGAGGGCGTGTTCTTCAACGTGATGTTCTCGTACGGGGGGAATTCGCAAGGGGGTTGTGGAGGTTCTGTTCCATCAATGGTTTCGTCCTATTGGAAGAAGTATATTGTTCATAAGAAATGAAGAAGCAATCAAAGTCATTAATGAATGGTATTTTAAACACTAAGACGTTGCTCCGAATTCATTACTGGTTATTAGACAGATTCACCAGCAGTGGCGGATCTAGGGGTAGCATAAATTACACAGCTACATTTTAAATTAAAAGCACCTTAATAATAACGTCATTGGTTATGGATTACAAAAGAATATCTTTAAATAAAGATCTGGCAATGCGACTGCGATTTTAAACTGTAGTAATTTATTCTGACTACCCCTAGATCTGCCCCAGGATAAACGAGAAATCAAACACATTTCAGGTTTTTCCATGAAATCCTTTTGAAGGTGAAAAGAACTACCTGATTTGAGATACGCAGAAAATTTCTCTTTCAAATTATCCAATCAAACATATCTAATAGTATCAAAACAAGACTTGCAGCTGATGACCGACGAATCTCAAACTGTTTATAGTAAGTCCAAACGGCCTATAAGAAATTTTTCTTGATGGTGAAGATTTCTGTCACAGCATGTTTCTGATTGGTCAATGCGCCCAGTTAGCCAATCACGAACCTGCTTTGTCTGCAAACTACGATGCAGTGTGGACTTTTCGTAATGATCTATTATCAGTTTATATTGCAAATTTTCAAGTCTCATATATACTGGGCATATCATGTACACCCCTCAAAAGCTAGCATCATAAGACGCGATAATTCGGGTGATAATTACGTGGTGAGAATGAGATGATATAATAATTACGTTATCACATAGTTATTATACGGGTGTTTAAACGTAAATTACGGGTGTTTAAACCTAAATTTAGTATGAAGAGTGGCATACATATTTAGGAACGAGGCAGAACGTGATATAATCGTAAAAAAATAGAAAAAAAACTATAGATAATTTCATACTTGACATTCATCTTCAGGATGGATTTCGATTTTTACATCGCCTCTTCCCAGCTCCTTCACGCATTTCTCGAGAGTATGCCGATCAAAATTTTGGCTTTCGTTTATGAACGCGAGTATCTGTTGGCCTTTAGCGGTGTTATCTGGATACTGGCTGGCATTCATCCTAATTTCATCTCGCTTTCCATATGGAATATTCATGAGTGCCGCGAGGGCGTCCCAGTCCATCCCAATCTCGTTGCTCATTCTACTAATCTCAGCGTTTGACAGCACGGTGTCTCGGTATACAACTAGAAATGAACATATCAACAGTTAGTTAGGAAAACAAAAATGTCACCTAGTTAGAAGTATACAAATTATATGGGAAACGTTCTTACATGCATCCCATATATTGATACTGTTACCCAGGGGAGGTAAAATTAAAGACCCTGGGTACGAGATTCTACCTGAAATACATTTCACGAAATCTATGTAAATAGATTTAGACAAAAGGTATTACACGACCCAAATTTTACAAAAGGCATCAATTCGATGGAAGTGCATGTTACATGTAAATCCGTAAGGAAACGTGTTTGGGTCAAAGGGTAAAATCGTGGGGTGTAGCGAAAAACAAGAGAGTAGAACTTAGCATACCTTTGGTGGTCCGGGCTCCGGTGTATTATGTAATAGGACTAAAATGAATAAGATGCAGTTAGTAAGGCGATATATAGCACTTAGTATATACTACAACTTGAACTTTTACTGCAGTGATGTGAAGTGTGCCTATGATATTTGCTTAGAGCCAAAACTGTTTCATAATTTTGGAAGGAGTATTGGACCACAAACGTTTGGCGCCAATACATGAAATTTGCCGATTCATTGACAAAGTTTTGAAATTTTATTCAATAATTAAAGAAGAGATAATAATTTAGTAAATTCAAAATCAGGCAAGATATAATCTGAACTCAAGTCTGGATTCAATTAATACATCGGCATCGTTATCACGTGGGATCTTAAATGGATTTTAAACCAAACTATTTTACCTTCAGCTTCTTTTTTAATCTCTTTTTCCATTTCACGAATATTTAAGTTCCACAGAAGTTTATTCGCGGCATTTCGATGCAATTCTTTTATGTCCACCGTTCCATTTGCTGGGCTAGTTATTGGTGTTACCTTGAATTGTTCCACCACGAAACCGACACTATCCAGCTGGGGCTGATCAATTTTGAACGGAAAGGGGCTGCTTATAAGACCTGGAAAATTTAGAGACATTTCAAGGCCACGATCCGTGTGCACACGCTTCAACTTTCCCTTTTCTCCTTTAGTGTAGCCTTCCTCCTGGTGAGTCTGCAGCTGGTCGATGCGTTCTTGCGCTTTTTTGTCAACAAATTCGCTTACAATAACAACAGAAATATCCATGGAATCCACTGAAGCTCTGCGATAGAACGAGTATGCACGACAGGTGAACGAATGATTAAGATGACTTAAGATTCGCGCTATTTTGCCACGTCTTGCCAAAATGTAGCTATAAAAACAGAAACCATTAATCTTCATGCTCACGACTCCGTCGATACTGTTCTCCTCGAGATCATTCGTTACCAGTTCCCAAACGGTTCTCTGGTAATCAGGGTTGTAGGAACCATGCAGCACGAACAGTTCGGATTCGGGGTCACTTTTTTCACATTTTATTTTAAGGAGCGCTGGCTTCAGGAATTTCAGACCGTCTGGAAGGAATTCGACCACTCGCGGGGTATCATCGACCAGACCCAACTTCAGCAAAGACTGGAAAGCAAAATTCTGATCGTCTCTTATTAATGTGATCTCTGTGTCGTTTTCCAGACAACCAGGCCCGACATCGAGCGAGATATCAGCTATTTTTGTGACGCCACCCTCCGTTGTGATAAGCTTTTTTACCAGGCCAGGACGAACTGAAAGAGCTAGAAAAAAAAATGGAAAAATCAAGAATCTCTTCCCATTTTTTTATTATCCCAGTGAAAAAATTTCTTAAGCGTGCACAAAATTACGCTGTAAGTAGCATTGCCTCGTTTAAATTAAAAATGTCAGGAGCCTCTAAATCACCAGAATTAAGTGTATCTTAATTAACATGGAAAAACTTATATGTTGCGAGTTTGTCGACCACCCCTTCAAAAAGGTATTAGACGTGCCACAGAGGACCTACTTGGACAGAAGTCTCACTCAGACAAAAAGGTGTAACGCGCTGCCAAAAGCTTAGCCAGTGTGCATTCGAGAGGCATTTACCCACCCGAACTCAAATTTCAATATGGCGAGATTTTAAACCATCTAGCTGATTTAAAAACAAATTTTTGCTGTATTTTTTCTGGTATAATCGCCCTTCATTTTGCAAATATTTTGGGGGGAGTTCATGCCTCCCTAACGTGCATTGGCTAAGCTTTTCGTTACACTCAAACATTAGCCTTTCTACAACAGTTACACCTCTGTCTAAGTAGGTCCTCTGTGATGTGACTACGAGTACACGATTGAGTCTTAGCAGTGACTGCGAGTACACGATTCGTCATTCCAGCGTGTTGTTTGCTTACGCTATCAGTCAAAACTCGCAGTAGTCGAGTTTTGAAGTACAAGTTTTTGCTTAATTTCACATGCAGAAGTGCAACGACTACGAGTTTCGTCAGATGGCGTAGGCAAAAGCACCGCGTTTGACGCGCAAATCAGAAATCTTATACTCGTGTCAATTATTACGCTTGTATGCTTACTTTTACTGCGACGTTCCTTCGCCTTTTTCACTCTTGATTCAACTTCTTCTTCATCTTCAATAGCCATATCATTAGAGAACGCCATGTCATCTGACGGCATTTTCATCTTGTCAAAATCAGCGCGAACGCTTCGGGGCTGAGAACTTTTTAAAGAGCGAAGTCTATCAACACGAACAACGTGATCTTTCCCAGTCTAAAACAATTAAAGACAGAATTACACGACGTGTTGTAATGAAAGACACCATCACACCAATGCACCATTCTACTAAAAAACTCTGGTCATGTTACATTGTATTTTCCGGCAAATAAAAGCGTGATTTTACAAATTTCACAAAGAAATATTATTAAAGTGCCAATTAATAATTTCGTATACGATATGCTATAAATCTCGAATACGAAGGTTAGAGAGGATGGCAACGGCTATCAGTTTATGTTTTCTTTGCAAATGCAACCGTAGTAGTAATTATTAATAAAACTTGAATCCTACCTCTTCGCTGAGTCCTTCTTCATTAGGCTTGTTATAAGTCACAGGTGGTAGTGCTCCTGTTCTACGACCTTTGCATTTCTAACGGATATAATTACAAATGATTAGGAGAAACCGAAAAACCTTACATGACCCCACTACCCACTGATTCTACTTTGTTAAGCTAGAACACGGTGACCAAAACACTATTCAGGGTTAGTAAGGATAATAATTTGACAAGATTGACTTGATTGACAAGTCACTTTTTGTGTTATTTAGCTAGCCACCTCATCAAGTTTGAGAGACACGATAAAAGAATGTATAATTTTAATGCATGATTTTAGCTGCCAAATTGACCGAAGTAGATGAAGAAGTATCATCAGAATGATTCGCTCTTTTGTTGTTTCAAATGGACATCGTTTGTTCCGTGTCTTCACTCCGATTTTAGGCAGTTTTGAGAAATTCACATTCTCGTAGGTTTTGGAACAATTTTATGGGCGCACGCGTTCTTAAACTTTTGAGAGTAGGCGAAATTTCTTGCCCGAATGTATGACCTGAAAATGCTCCCAATTTCGCTAGAGTACTCGCCTGAATACGTTATGTTATGAAGAATCATTAAAGGGCATCAGCCCCCCCCCCTTTCTCTGCCCATCACACGCCTTGCTATAACCACTGCTATGCAGGCTATGACAAAAAGACGCTGCTTACCCGTCCGCATGATAGACGAGTCCTGACAAGGCACAGCACCAGACAGGCGACTGCTACTAAAGCTGCGACACCAACAGCTATGCCAACGATCAAACCTAGGTTTGTGCTATCACTTGTCATTGGCCCTAGAGCAATAAGAGAAATTGGGAGTGTAAACGAGGTTAAAAAAGATTTGCTATTGTTTTAAGTTTAAGGAGTTGCCCAATGTTTCCCGAAACACCATCGCTTTTAGTAAACCCTGTTGTTCTTTTTATAATAGTATAATTTTATTATAGTAAAACGTCAAAATAAATTTCATTAAAACAGCCCTGAAAAGACCAATTTTTCTCGCAAGGCCAGCTTGGAAACACGAAGAACGTTCAAGCGACCACCTGAATCGTTTTTTGCTGCAATTTGGTCCTTCGACGGTTCGAAGGGTCAGAACCGCGGGGGGGGGGGGGTGGTATTGATAAATATATTCACTTCAGTATTGTTTTTTAATTGATTGTTTTTCGGTCTGGTAACTCCAACCACTGTAAACTTTCTTCTGCGACCCCTGCACACGACAGTACAATTGAGCCACCTTCATTAATTACACCTGCAATAATTCGTAGCATTTAGATGGTTAAGGGGCTGTTTACATGCGCCCTGTTACCCGAGATTCAACGTACCGTGAGATGACTTTCAGGTATTGGGATAAGTCCTTATAACACCAAACAAGCACATGCTATTGTTGTGGTAATTACACTACAGTCAGGATCATATTATCTGCTCATTTCAAGACCTCAAAATCATCTTAGGCCTCGTTGAATCTCGGATAACTGGGCTGATATATACAGCCCCTAACTATGATATTAATTTGTCGTACCTTGGCCAATTGGCGTTGTCATGTTTGCTGTCATACTTGAAGTGACAATTGTTCTCGTGGCTGAAACTGAAATTCAGAAAAAAGGATTAGAAAAGAAAATCAAGAATGAATTCCTGATTAATGAAGTGACTCGACGCAGTCTTTCGAGATAGATTTTAGCTATCTGTCTTTGGAATTAACTAGTTTTTTAACCCAGGTCACGAACATGGCTACAATGACAGAATGACAAAAATGAAATGTCAATGTACTTATTGTAATTTTTTTCCTATAGTCAAATGAGCTGGAAGGTGTTAGATCAAGAAACCACCATTTTTCTACAAAATGACTGCTCCCTTCCACTAGTTCTCTTCAATTGAAATTGTAGACTAACAATACAACAACAATAACAAAAAAACATCATGACAAAGCGCATCAAGCAATGTAAACAAAGAAAAAGACAAAGAAATCATAAAACATATACAATAACAAAAACATTAACGAACAACAACAACGACAACGACACAACAACAACAACACAACAACAACAACAACAACAACAACAACATGCAACAACGAAATGATAACAGCAAACTGTAAAAATCTAGCACGAAAAAATCTAATAATACCTTTTAATCGTGAACTCTGACTTGCGATGGTAGTTCGTTGTGTCGAGAAACCATTTGCGATAGCAGAGCAGTTTTGGATGACTTTATGCCATGAATAACTTTTGTCGGCCTCGGGTGTGAAACGTTAGTTGTGGTGTTAACTGATGATTCTACATAAGAAAATGAAAACAAAGGGGAATAATATGAATATTTTCGAAAATAATTCACGATAACACGGTACTAAAATCACGTGCAGTTATGTGTCGATTTACTTTTAATGGCTATTAATTTGCCATCTAAAATAATGGAGAGCAAACTATAACATTACTTGCTATAGTACAATGTAGTGAATGAAATATACCGTAACAGAAGATTGCTATATAAACAGCTCGATTATAATTAATATACTTGTATCTTAAAATGAAATACAATTATCACAATAGCCACCTAAACGCAGATTAATAATCACTTAAGCCTGGTTTTCACTTGCGACGCAAGCGTATAGGCAAAAAAACAGTCAACATGCAATGAAACGTACGACGGAATTAAGCATCGGCAAAACATGAAGCATAAGCATGCACAAGAATATATTCTTGCTTTGTCATTTTGCATAATATTTATATTTAAGTCGAAATGATTGATCTCGTTTATGTTATGCATAAGAACGAGGCTTTAGTGTATTATAAAGGAGTATACTTTAAAAAAGAATCGTACCCTTTGACTGTGCGTTTGTTAACATCCCACAGCACATAAAAATTATTAGAAATGGAAGGAATTTCATCGTCCCCAATATCTTCATACTTTATACTTAGATGTGGATTATCTAAAGAAAGAATAAAGATTTGTCAGTTAAAAAACTACAATCATAAAAGCTACTATCTGCTACTGTAGGAGTTATCGATCGGGGATATTGTTACTAAACACTTTTCACTGCAGGGACACTTCACAATCAAATTATAAATCTGCAATTTCCGCGCAGAATTTGTCACAGGGATTTAAGGCTAAAATTACACAGAATTTTATTTTATTATTGGCAGCATATAAATCAATGATTCCATCCAAATTATGTTGATATATAACATACTGTATTTGCACTTGGACTGTTCATATCAAAGATAGGGTCAGAACGAGGAAGTTAACTAAATATTCGGGCTATCAGCCACTGGCCGGTACAAGTAAATCGCGGTAGTTTCTTCAAACCAGCTCTAAACAACTAAAGTACCAATGTGCATATCTTAGTTGGCATGCGCATGAAGGTTTATAAATTTTTTCGGTCGAGGAAGAATATAACGTGTTATTGTAAGTTATAATTTTGAAAACTAGTGTCTGCAATTAATATAATCAAATTAATATAATAAAATAAAAAATAGAATATAATATAAAATCAAATATAATTATGCATTTCTGAAATTTTATTCTGCGCGATTTGTATAGTTATTGCGACATCGCAAATTCCTATCGCTTAATGCGATTGACCTGCTCTTTCTTCAGAAGCTCGACATTCTTAAAGATAATACATTATCTTAAACATGTAGTGACCAGTATAGCTAGATATGCAAGTATAGCTAACATGTAGTGACTTTCGATGATTGAAATTTTTCGTAAATTTTTATCAATTGAAAGGCCTAAAAGCTACCTATATAGCAACCATTAAACCCAAATTTGGCTTAATCTGGAAATGTATCTATTTAATCTTCATTTCATAGCATAAGCACAGGGAAAAAGATACAGAGATGTTAAATATTCGCAAACCAAATAAGTTCCGCGGGCAATTATACACCGCTTCGCTCAATGCCAAAATCGAAAGACGATTGACTACAATATATGTTGTCTTTCCAGCACATACGATAATCGTAAGATAATCGCATAGTTCTCGAATTTCTTTATTGCTTAATCCGCCTACGAAAGCTCTGCCTCAGCTTGAGGAAGAATTGAGGAAAGAAATGCCTTTCTCAGACAATATGGTATAAGCATATTATTTCCTTAACATATCAAATTACTGCATTAGTATATAGACAAATTAAAATCAAAATCTTTAGCTCATTTGCTGCTATTTTAGGTGCAATATTTTCTTTACTGACGTAAACGAGTTATAGACAAGTTACCAATGTTTACATGATGGTATAACGTGGAAAGCTGGCGCATTTAAACGGATATTCGCTCGTTCACATCTATCAAAAGAAAATCGCATCAAAATATCACTGCAAAAACCACCTGGGTGAATTATAGCCTCGTCAACTAAGAACAAAAGCAACAAGTTAACCTGTTTCCTCTGACAAAGCCCAAATGTATCCTGCTAACAAGTAGAACAAAATGGTCATTATAATCAAACATGCCGAATTTGCAACGCCATTTGTGTTAAGTAACACCTTCACTGCCCTAATTTAGTACCATAAATCCGTTCAAACTCCGGGATATACTTTAATTGGATTCACTAGTTTTAAATGCACTTATTCACTGAGTCAGACTGTTATTAGTGACTATATTTCATGATATTAATTGTTTACGATATACTGCATATAAATTCTATATGTAGTCACGCATGAAGTACGTTGGCGGCTATAGAAAAATATCTTTCTAAATTTCAACGTATTATGGTTATGAAGTTTGACAAAATGCTCAATATGTATCATACATTATTAGACTAACGTTAAAATGTCCAATATAACAACAAAGTTGAGACGCTTTGCTTACAGAGGCTTGATTTCATTATCGAATATCTTCCGGCCAGTTGGATGCCAAACGCTAGCCACTTCACATACAATATTATATATTTCACCATGAATTGGAACAGAACGTACCTGGCAAAACTCGTTTGGTCTTGTCGAAGAAATAAAGCAGGCTTAACGACGAACAGCGTCGTCCACCGACGTTTGTATTCTATAAATTCCTTTCCAGAGATTAAGCCTTGGCAACAGATTGTATATGAACTTCCTTGTTCCTGTTAGTGCATTGGAAACCCCCTAAAAGATAAAAATAGTTTAAGATGTGACATCATATGATCATGAAAACGCTCGAGCCGAGGAACCGTATGTTTAGAACAGGTGAAACTATGTATACGTGCATAGTAAAAATGGTGCGCATTTTGCAGGGTTGAAAATATATATGCATGCATGCATGTGTTAGGGACTAAATTAATCTATAGAAGTAAGAGCACGCTATACGTTTGATTTATTACACAGAGGAAGTGAGAGATCGTTGTTGTACGTATTTTCGTATGGTGATATAAAATGATAAAACTAAAAATGCAGTATAATTATTGTGGTTACTGCATGACAGAATGCATGGTAAGGTCCTGAAACGGCTGTCTCAAATACGTTGATACTGGTGAAAAGCTGCGGTCTTATGCTTACGCCATATTTATAATTGTAGATGACTTATTTCATGCAAAGCTGCTCCTTTTCAGTTTGTCCTCCATTTTGATGTTTGGTATGTGACAAAAGTCGACCTTTCGTAATGAGTGCATGCAGTGAAAGCAACTCGACTTTGACAGAGCCATGGTTTAAGAAAATTCCGCTCGATTTCATTAATAGATACAATCGATATCGAATAGATATATCGATTAGACGGATTAGTATATATATCGTATCAACTAGTGCCTTATTCTTCAAATACAAAATCAATATACAAAATCAATACAAATGAACTGTATTTTTGATATTTCGATGCGCTTTCGTATCCTTCATAGACAGGAATACAATAAATACAGCTTTCTTGCCCCGTTTGACCCCAAAAAGCAAAGTTATGTCTCTGAGTGTAATTGAATATGCGGCTATGTTGAATTGTAATCTAAATTTACCTGTTCTAGCGGGCTTAAAGCGTTGAAATTCGGGATCAAATTGCAAAAATCGTTTGTAAGAATGTGCAAGAGACTAATCCAGATAATAATAATCAAGTTCATGTTATGACATGTAGTTTATTATGCTAAGTCGAGAATCATAAAGATCCGCAACAGGGAATAAAAGCAAACAAACTCTGGTTTAAATCATATACCCTTTTGATCTTCATAAATATAGAACGTTTTAATGACGTAACGTACAATGCTGTTTATAAAAATTTGACGTTAAATGTAATTTGAGTTGAATTAATTGATTAATTAAGAAATCTAGCATCTCATTGCGTTGATAACCTTCCCTCACGTGCCTTGCCATTTGTTCTTTTAGCTGTTCGTCTTCAACCCAGTTGTTATTTCGAAAGTACGCCATGTTCGAAAAAATGCCCGCAAGGTATTGTGGTATACTGTGGCAGCTCTAGGCCGTGTGGAAATTTGAATTTACTTTCAAATTATTTTAACTTTATTTTAATGTTAAAAAATATTCTATTTAATTGGATTTTCTTTTGTTTTAAATTACTTTTATTTGAAATTCTTTTCAATTTGATTAATTTGATTTTATTTTGGAAAAATTGAGTGGCAGTTCTCGGCCACCATACATGAAACACGAACTTCAATAATAAAAATAAAAAACGGATTATTTTCCAGAAGAGGAAACGTTTGTTATTGTTAAAGTGGTCAAGTTTAAAGTTGCCTTAACATACACTGTAAAGGATTTGACCGCTATTTCTCCGACTAGTTTCCTTTTTGTGCATGAGATGCGGAATACACTTCCTTGTACCCAAGCGCTTTAGTATTTACATTATAAGGGCCTAAGTACGAGGCTGCAGCTTAATACACGAATTCCACATATGAGTTTCAAACTTGGAAAGCTCTGAAGGCAATCACACAATGTTTGCACACCTAAACTATTATATTTGTTAATATGTACAATTTAAAGTACAAGCAATATTGAAATGATTTGTGTTTTGACAAGACGGTACCCAATCGACGAAAATCGTCAAACCTTTTTTGTATATTTCATAGCGGTATCTAATTATGGCCGGGTGTGGTAAACCTTATCTAAATTCGTTTAAGAGAATAGTTTGCGGGTGGCATGGTCAATTGATCACAATAAAAAGCTTTTGTTTGGAAGCTTAAAAAGGCTGCTATCGCGGTTTAAACTATTCTCCTTCAGGCTATTATTCAATGAGAAAACTCAAAGGCTTTTTCTCAAAACCAATTTAGGTCTGGCCTTTCAACTTTTGGTATAGTCTTCATATGATTATATCCAATCTACAAACAGTGATTTCAGTGTGTAAGAAATTAATATATGGATCAAGTACGGAGTAATTAACTATAATACAACATAAAATGATGAAGAGAAGCACTTCGTCACTAGTCTTGCAGAAATTTAAACAAAGCATTTCAATTCGATATTTTACAACAAAAATCATAAAATCAACTGATTTTTGATCAAGCACATGACAATTATATACTTGATACGACTACCGTATATGAACAAAAAGTCGAGAAACGTCAAAGCCTATGTATCACTCACGTTACTAATACTGTTATATTTGAAACAAATGTTTATAAATTATAATTGGATGATTGCCTTAGTGTAAAATTGAATACTGACTAGTCGGCATGCCGATGTTATGATTTGTTGTCATGACAAACTCGTGTTCCGGGTTGTTAAAGTGCAGAGGCGGATATGTTTTCAATGAAAATATTCAATCCAGAGAGCTTTCAATTGTGGCATCAAGGATTTCTTTATTCACAGGGATTTGCGTGAGGCACATGCAGTCGGTTGCCAATATGTATATGTGCTTGCGCCAAAAGCACTTGAAGTTTTCACACTCAGTTCCAAGGAAACATTGCATAAAACAAAGTAGCGATTGGAATATAAAATAGAATCATTATAGCCAAACGCCATGATAAAAGTTGTTCCATAAATAAACAAATATGCAACGTAATTGGGTCGCCAATTAATTTTGAAGATGTAAAGACATGCACTTCTCGAAAAAAATATCGTAGTGGTCTTCATGATGATGTAGATATACAACACTTACAAGTATTTTAAACTCTAAAACTTTATTTTGAACTATAGAATATTGCAGAAATCATCAAAAATACGGGAATAGTTTCTTATAATTGTTATCAGTAAATTGTAGACAAAGAAGCACAATTTATGAAGACGACCGTATATATACATATATATCTGCAGAAAGTTAGTTTTGGGTGCATGTCAGCATATACCGATCGATAAACCACACGATAAAGCCCAAGTAATTCTGAAGGTTTCAATTTGAGGCTAAGTGCTTTCGTCAAGAAGGACAAAATTAACGAAGTTTCGTTGAGAAAACGTTGCGAAATTTCAATTATCGTACAGATTTGTCTAGATAACCAGATTTGTCATGAAAAAGGATGCCACATGCTAGGTTTGTTTTTGAAAATTATATCATAATTGGAAGATAATTGAATACGCTCGATCGTGTCTTCAACAATCCGGCTTTGCATATTGTTGAAAGCCAGAATATACCAACGCATTCCCACGCCTACATCGAATTTCACTTTTATCTTCGGAATTCCCTGTTTTCAAATAGCGGTCAATTCTAAATTACTACAAATTCCGCCCGGAGATTAGGAATTACACCCGGGTATTGTGACAGAACATTCAATGTTCCTTGGACGTTTAATGGTCATGGTGTTTGTACGCATGCGCGAAGTTTGAACGAGTAGAGAAGGGTAATGTACAACTTTCTGATTGGCCTAGACAAAAAGTTTGTATTTCAATGAGAACGTCAGCATTTTAACTGTCATTTTTCAATTTTTTTTAAAACATATTTCTTGAACTTTAATCAAAATGAAATATGGAATCAAATACAATTATATAAACACTGGGAAAAGATTAAAATATTATCAGAACACAGAAACAGTTGGTGAAATAGGAACGACGAGCGGAGAAATGGGAACGACTCGTAGTTTATAATCCTTGAAGTGGTAGGTGTCTATTTTGTTTATTTCATGTTTGCTGTAAGAATACATTTTATTTTTATCAGTACGGGCTTGGTTCAGTATGTCTTTTTACGACGACCTACCCAACCATTTAAGGCTTTACATCATCGCTTAAACTTTAAAAAGAGTTATTGAACGCCCACACATACCGGACGCGATGCGGCAACGCGACGCGAATTTTCAGTTTTTAGAAGCCCATAAATAAATTTCTGGCAGCAAAACTTGGAATCTATGTACGCCAGAGCCACCCGTTTCACCTATTCTAAAACGCTATAGAGCGTATATTCTAAAATTTAGAACAGCGCTCGATAGCGTCACTGAGTTGCAACCTGAGCAACCCACAACGGGCATTTGCCCGCGAAGACAACATCAACATGGCGCCCAAGCGAACTCGAAGTGGTAGTGTGAATAAACCAAAACGTTTTAAACCCGTTAAACTGCGCGTGCTTTCAGTTTCCACAAGTGGAAGCAAACGTGCCGGTAGCATCTTTCTGAAAACATCATCAGACAATGTTTCAAGTGCTCATGGTGATGAGATATCTACCAGCAATTTGCCCTCGCTCTCGATGGATACCGATCATGATGATCATGGCGATGATCGTGATGATAATGGCGATATTCTTGGTGACCGTAGTACTTCTGACTTATCACAACATCAGTCAAGACGATTACGGCAATACAGACAATGGGAAGAAGTCAGGGAGAAGCTTGTTAAATCTCGCTACGAACGAAATGCTTTCACAGCCAACGATGTACAGTGCTGTGATTGCACAGCATTCGCCGAAACTCGTTGCCTCGACTGTGGTCACGATATTTATTATTGCAGAAACTGTGCAATTAACAGTCACAACACAAGGAATCACTTCCATGTTTTAGAAATATTTAAGGTACATGAATTTATTAATACGTTTGCAAATTGCAAGCTGAGTCAGAGTCTCCCAAAGTCTCCTTCTAGTTCCATTCAATTGCTTGCTTGCTTGCATGAATCAATATGCATTTCATTATTTTACTGTCTAACCATTGAAATTTTGATGTTGTCCACCAACATGGTAGCAGTAATGTCACTTCAATTTTTTAATGGCTGATCTGGATTTTGTGTGTTTTGTTAAATTGTGTCATTCCACACCACACACTGTTTTTGCTTTGGTGGAGTGGTTACCATTACCTAAAAATTTACAAAGCAAGTTAGTGGTGGGATGCAGGGGCGGATTTTCTCGGGGGGTGCAGGGGGGTGCGCACCCCCCCAAAATTTTCTAGCACCCCCCCAAAAAAAATTCTAAATGTTTACGGAAATTTTTACTTTGCGTATATCTTCGTTGTTATTTACAACACTGCCAAAAAATTTAGTGTAACTATAAATACATTTGATGTTAACATCTCCAAAAAGTTTGAAGATTGAAGAATAGATCCTACAAAGGCTACATAGAATTTTAACTTTGTGTAATTTTAGTATTTTCCGACAGTCATTCGCATATGAAATGTTCGACCTTTGACCTTGTTTACGTTCGCCAGATAATGTTGCATGCCAACTGTGTGACAATGCAATATTTAAGTACCTGCTGTATGATGTAATCACACATGGTTCAACTTTGCGATTGGCCTTTAATGGAATTTGCTTACTCATAGTGTGTTATGTCAGATTATTTTTGGTTAATTAAGTCATATTTTACCCTAACGGTCGGTATAAAAGCCGGTCACTTTATACATTATTCATGAGTGTTAGTGAATCGTGAAGAGTCTGAAGAACATCTAATATAGCTGAATTTTGTGAAATATTTTGTTTTCAATACCAAAACACAACGTGAGTGATTTTTCATTTGCGAATTGTTGGACAAACCGAGTAGAGAGAACAATGAAAAGGCGCCAACCGTCGCTTACAGATTTTTTCCACAAGAAAAACAAAGGTTAGTGTCATCACAGTATTCTGCAATATTATTTATTGAGAAATTGGGCCGACTCGACTGTATGTTGCTGATCACACTATTCTTCAGTTCCAGAATCGAACCCACATGCACAACTGGCAATTGATCAAGATCAATATCCAGAACTTGAAGATGAACAAGATGAACATGAGACTGGACGAGACAATGCTGAGCGGGATAATGCTGAACCAGATGGAGTTCAACTTCATACAATTTGTGATCCTGAAGAGACTCAAGAGAGATCCACCCCTGAAACTAGCCAAGCAAGCTCCTGTGATCTCGATCAAGAATTGGACAAACCATCACAACCGAAGCTCCAGAAATTTCCAATAAATACAAACTTTTCAAGCAAAAAAACGAGATCTTTCAACGCAAACTGGTACAACCGCTTCGACTGGCTAGAGTATAATGTTCAAAGCGATGCAGCATTTTGCTTTGCTTGTAAAAACTTCTGCTCAAGAAATTCCGCAGACACCACATTTACCGTAACTGGCTTTAGAAAGTGGACTAATGCGCTAGATAAAAACAAAGGTTTTACGAAACACCAGAAATCAGAAGTTCACAAAAATTGCTACGAGAAATGGAAAGCAAAGGCCCGAATATCAGACGGAATAGATACAAGTATACTTGAGAAACTGGTTCCCGATCAAGCGAAAACAACTCAAAATAACAGAGATTACTTTAAACTTCTGTTCCAGTACGTAATTTGGTTTGCAACGAACGAAATAGCATTCCGGGGCCACGACGAGGCAGCTGATTCGAAAAACCCAGGCAACTGGACAACGTTTATCAAGATGCAATTACAGACCAACAAGGAGTTTCGAAGTCTCCACCAAGCGATAACAGAAAAAAGGCTTCTTGTTGACTACACCAGTAAAACGTCTCTTAATGAAATGCTGTCTGTACTCGCGGTTCAGATACGGAAAGAGATATGCCATCAGATCGAAACTGCCGGGTGCTTCAGTGCGCTAATCGACGAAAGCAAAGACAAAGGCAAGAGGGAAGAGCTTGCTTTCTCTGTTCGTTACTACACCAACAAGGTACAAGAGAGATTTCTATCCATGACTGCACTCACCAAATTTGATGCAGAAGCTATCTCAGCAGTTACGAAAGACCTGATCTCTGACGTACAGCAGAAATCCAACGGATCGCCTATTATCAGCCTCGGCGCAGATGGCGCTAGCGTGATGTCTGGCTGGTTAGCAGGAGTCGCAGAACTGCTTCGATCAAGGTATTTTGAATGGCTAGTTTACATCCATTGTACTGCCCATCGTTTGAATTTGGTTGTAGGAGACATGCTAAATGCATCTTTGTCGTCAATGGATGTTATGACCACAATAAAATCCTGCCATACACTGCTTAATAAACCGAAGATCAGACAAAAGTACGAATCACTCCACAGAGAAATGTATCCTGGCAAACAAGTTAAACATATTGTGCAGCAAATCGATGTTCGTTGGGGATGCAAATACGAAGCCGTTAATGTTATATCTGAAAGATTTGATGTTGTCCTCACGACTCTGATAGATGTGGCAAACAACCCCGGTGGAAGTGATGAAGATGATGAGTATCAGTATACGAAGTCACAGGCAGAAACAGCAGCTGGACTGTACCACAAACTGATGTCAGGAAAGTTCATCGTGGGTCTGACAACACTTCATAAGTATCTCGGCAAGCTATACTTCCTTAATAAAGAACTTCAGACCGAAAAAATTGATTGGACGGACGTTCAATACGAGCTGACCCGAACTCGGGACTTAATTAACAACATTAAAGATGAGGACATATTCATTGCGTCGAAAGAAATTTCAAGAAAGACTGGAAACCCCTTAGCTCTCTGCGACACAATGCCTATCCACAACTTAGAGCTACAACAGTTATGACTCCCGACGATCAGGATCATCAGGTAAAAGAATTTATGCAGATCTCAATGCAAGCTGAAGAATAAACTCAACGATGAGTTCAATGTCAGATTTGACTCCAAGAACATAGACATCCTTAGAGCTATCAATGCTCTTAATGCAGGTTCAGATACCTACTTGAACTTAAGTGAGCTAGATGTGCTACTGAATACCTTCAGCTGTCTCAACATTAACAGATCTATCCTCGAACTAGAAATCGAAAGAGCTGAAGTTGATTATCGTCTTGGTCTACCAATAAATCCAAACAGGCTTCCGAACTTAACCACTTTAATTGCAGTTAAGAACACCATCTCGACATCAACCGCTTCAGTGGAAAGAGCATTTTCCGGCATGAATCGTGTCTGCACGAAGCTACGATCCACCCTTCTTCCAGAAAGATTAAGTGATCTTTTATGCATTTCGTTAAACAGAGTGTTGCTGATTTACTGGATTTGGACGAAGTCGTAACAGCATGGGGAAACATGCGCAATAGGAGGGCTAAAGTCTAAGTCATGAACTGACTAACTACTAACTAGTCTAACTGCATGTATATAATGTATAATGTACTTATTGCTAACCTGAGAATTGAGAACTTGAACATCTGCACAAATTTGAAATATTGCAAAGAAGTATTGTACAGCAATACAACTAGAATTTATAATTTTTATATATTATATAATATTTTTATTTTATAACTTTATACCACTATTCATTAAGAAAAAAAGATATAAAAAAGTTAATAAAGTAATAATACTTTCATTACACGGGCTGGGTTCACTCATGCCTAAAAAATATACAACAGCCCGGGGCCCCGGGCAAGCTTTGCTAGCGCACTGATGCACCCCCCTAGGAAAATCTGCACCCCTCCTGTCAGATGAGCATTGATCCGCCCCTGGTGGGATGCCATGCTCAGATAAATTAACTTGTAGATAGAAAGTGTAATTACCTTGTTGGTAATTTTGTAGGTAGATAGCTTGCATAATAGCTTCTGCTAGGTATTCTGAACAGATGTGTATGATCACTGAGGTTTTAATAATAATTTGTATCTTTCAATCTGTAGGATGGCTGTTTTCTACCATTCTTTGTTGACCAGAAACCATTGAGCTTATGGCATCAAAGGAATTGTCCTACATCTTGTGCCAGAATTGTTGCATGCATTGATCAACACGGTAAGCCACCAAGTACCAAAATGGTAATATAACATGTCTATTGATATTTTAGTAAATAGTAAAATATCAACCCTAGGCCACTAAAGATATACATTAAGATGCCCAAAAGCATACTGTACAGTAGATCTACAGTTGGACCAGGTATAATAATGCCTTACATATTTGATTCACCAACAGAGAAACTCTGAGTGTCATAGATTTATGTACATAGAGTGTATGATATTGACAATGACATGGTACACTTTCAGCCAGCCTATTGACATATGGAAACTTGTGAAATAATTTGAATATGAAAGACCATGTGGGGAATGAAGGACAATACTTAAATTCAAACCATTTGGCATTTTTGCCAAGTTTGCATACATCAACAGCTAGTGAGCTGACCTACTTTATCAGTTACAGAATGATTCTCAAGTGAGCAATTCTGTATGTTAATTTTACCCAGGGCGACAGCATCAGAAGCAAATCCTTTTTTGTGAATGTGAAAGTGATGTCGTGACCCTATGGAAGATGCATTTATGGCCTAACTCTGCAAAACGCCCTATTGTAGCTTATCACATAAAGCTGATGGAGTTGGCAGAAGCACTTGTTTTGGAATGTCAAGTTTCTCTGCAAAAGTTCTGTGACATGTTGACTGTCCTCAATAAATCAACTCTTTTCCCAAAATGGGTAAATTTTGTTAATTTACTATAGAATGTTCTTACTACTTACTATGGACTGTAAGATTACAATTGTCAATTTGTGTTTGATGTTCCTGTGACAACAGTGATGACAACTTATACAGTTGTCATTACTGTGATGATATACCACAATGACTAAACTTACCACTGCAGATAGGATACATGAAAGGGAAATTCATCTCATATTTTCTGTATTCAATACTGTAGGTGAAAAATGTTTACTCTGGTCTCAACAGCGATTCCTTTGATGAATTTAGGTACTGGTAACTGCATTTTGTGTACTGTTAGATTGGGTAATACCCTAATAGAATAATATAACTACAGAATGCATGTATATATTCCTTAAACATTTTCATACTAAGTCATACTGTCACTGTATTTGTGTAGATATCACCAGTATATGATGAGAGATGGTTCACCATATTGGCAAAAACCCCAGAAATTTCTAGAAGTATCTGCCCTCTTTGTCCTAAGGTAAGTTTCGGTTTACATTATTACTGTGTTTCACCTAATATGTGCATGTGCAACTTCATCCTCAAATGCCCATTGTATACTATCATGGGCCTATTTTTTTCTCTTGAACTGTACTTGCATGTACTATCTAAGCCATATTAATTTCCTTAATATGCATGTAGATGTTGTGATATCTTTTTTAGGATGGTAAATCAGGAAGCATTGTGGAGTGTATGGATGGCTGTTTTGGGCTTGTGCGGAAGAAATCTGCAGGCACTGATATTTACCCATCCAGACACAAAACAACCATGTTTGCTGATCAAAATGATGTTGACAATTTTGTTCAAAGTTACACAGCAAATGCCAAAGAATCAAATGTTGTGAGTACAAGGGTATACAGTCTATGCTATGATAATATAATTATATATATACATATATATATATATATATATATATATATATATATATATATATATATATATATATATATAAATAGTTTGACAACAGGAGGAATTGTAACCACTTGTAGGTATAAAACATTTTTATTTACAGACAAACGTTTTCGCTTGTGAAAGCTCTTCAGGTCTGATGTATATACATAATATATAATAATAATAATACGCAAGTAATAGTTATAAAGAACGATTCATTTGACAAGTTGAAGCTCATGTAAATAATAGAAGGATACTCTGTATATTTTGTAACATTTATTGCACGAACATTTTCGCTATATAAAGCTCTTCAGGTGCTATTACATCACTCTTATAAATTTCTATACTATACTGTAGGTCACTCCAAGCTTTTACACAATACATGGGGCATATAATATGCACAGATGTGTGTATTAATTATTGGACAGGTTAATTGTAAACTGTATAAACCTTATCAGGAATGCAATGAATTTAAAGCTGGAGAAGTAACTGACATGCTCAGGTCAAAAGGGAGAAACAAACTCTATGATGAAAAGGGTGTTTTTGGACGTGTTTGCAGACACGATTTCCCAAAAGGCTTCCTCAACATTAAACATGGAGAAAGGTATATGATTAAGTTGGTATTTGAGTAAGTTTGCACTGATAATGAATGGCTGTCAGAACAACACTTTACAAAAACCAATAGTGTACTGCAGTATATTCATTTATTTTCTCCAACTTGGTCTTCCCATATGTCATTTTCATATACTGATCGTGGTACAACACTTTAACCATGAATCACGCAGGACAAAATGTCTTAAAAATAAAAAACTATTGATAAAAAAACTATTTTTATTCTTTATAGGATAGCTTATTCCGTGTACGAACTACAGCGTCTATTAGACAATTATGATGGGACAAGTGTTGATGTAAAGATTACATATGATATTGCATGTACATTGGAAGCCCATTTGAAGGTACTGTACTGTTAACAGTAAAAAATTGATTTCTCCAGCCACATCACTAGTTTAACACCAGGTATATGGTAATAGCTAATGCACGCTGTACTGTGTTGTAGAAAAATGAGAGGGAAGACATTCTTGACAAAGTTGATTTAGCCATACCAATTTTCCACTGCTATGGACACAAGTCATCTTGCCAGGTAATGTATAGACATTCCATTATTATGAACCATGTAATTACTTTGAGAAAAATAAAGCTTCTATGTCTGATATCCCCTGTAAAATACTGAATGGTTTTATTATGATAATGCTATGAATTCAGACTTCTAATTAGTTTGGTATACAATATTTATTCTTTCTGACAAACTCCATACCCATGCTAGATACAGTTCAGCCCAAGGCGACTACAAGGCTATGGTTTAACTGATGGTGAAGGAATCGAAAGGTTGTGGTCATATTTAAGAGGTTTCTCTTCAATGACCAAGGAAATGAGCCCCGGGCGACGTACAGATATGTTGACCGATGCTTTGCTGCATTATTCCTCACGCCAGCTTCGTACATGTGGTACTGCAGTATCTGCTGTTTATATATTACATTATGCTTATTATGTACAGTATACGTTATGCTTAAACTATTAACCTCTCTAATAGGATTTCAACTTGCGAACAAGCTAAAGAAATGTCCAGTACTTCTTCAAAACGCATTGTTGCAATTGGAAGAACTGTTCTCTGCGTTATCCGGTGTAGTAGCTAAAAATTTGATTTGTTTGGTACAAGGTGTATATACTGTACATATGACACATCCGCAAAAATAATTGTAACAATTAAGTTTCAATCGTAGTTCCATATGATGGAGAAGTAATTAAGAAGTGGATGAAAGATGAGGAAAATCTGATTTTAACGAGAGGTTTGTTGCTGATGACTTGTGTCTTACACGTACAGTACATTGTTGTTTCTAGTTTACTAACAATTCTTCTGTATGCTGTATTTCAATACCTATAGCCAAAACCAAATTCACTTTGACGTGGCAGCAGAAGTACGTTCAGAATCTAATTCATTTGAATCAGCTGAGGTGCGTTCCCTTTTCGATAAAGGAACTTGTACGTACGTACATGTTGTCATGATTGTACTTTATTATTACACAGGTTTTTCAACGTTTTCGTATGTTCTTTAATTACAGATTGAATGTTGCATCTATTGAGGAAGGCGCACATGACCAACTGGTTGAAGTGGTTAAAAAAACAAAAGAGTGAGAGAAATTAAGATTCATTCTAACCTACATAATTTCTTTTTTGATCCTTTTATTTTGCAATGACCTAACCATCTAGGGTCATGAAGACACTGAAAAGTATTGAGAAGTGTAACAAGCTGCCGAAGAGGTGGAAACCAGGTGAAGCACATTTTAATGCGGCAGCTCTTGGTTTGGAAAATCAAAGACGGGATACAATTGTGGAGCAGACGTATAATATGGCAGTGGAGAGGATGTTTCTTATTTCTCTTAAAAGAAAATATTCAGGTAAAGGCTAAAGCGGTCTACCAAGATAACCGTGTCTGGTGTGCTGTTACAGTTGCTACATGTGGTACCAGAAGCGGAAAGTACGACATGTACATGCATCGTATAGGACTTCTCTAAATTTAGTCCACTTCTGCTGAGGACTAAATTTATAGATAGTACAAGGTAGAAGTATTATACTGTAGCTTCCAAAACGAACCAATATTTGGCGAGAAATTCCAACTTGAATTTCGCTAGTGTTCCAGGAATAAATTGCAATGAAAATAAGAATTCAGCATTACTAACGATGTGAATTTCTTTCGTCTTTGCTTTATGAATTACTGTCAGTAATAATGTATTTGAGAAGCGAAATACAAATTGCATGGTAACTTTAGCAGTTTGTCAATTAATACTCTATAACTATATTAATGCTTTTGGTTTTACTACCAGATGGTCAAGCAATAGCAACGAAATTATCGAAGCAAATAAACAGAAAAACAAATGCGATCAAGAGTACGGTCACCAAGTATAATGCCTCCTTAGCTGCTTTGCAGGAATTGGTTGATGGATTGCCCAAAGAGTTGAACTTTGACGAAGCTAAGGATCCTGAGTCTAGTCTTTACAGAACATATTGCGACGAGAGTACTGTTGAGAGTGTCCCTTTTTCTGTGAAAAGGTCTGCAATTGACCTACAAAATTTCTTAGATCGATGCAAAGAGGAGCAGCAACTCTTGTTGAAGGAAATGGAAATGCTATTTGACCATTATTTGAAAAGAAGAGATTGTCTGGAAGAGAGTTATCAACTTCACTCGCAGAACGACTGCAGACTTTCAAATGGGATTTGTACTGTGGTGAAAAGTGAAATTTGCGAGACAAACAATATTTTGCTTTCCTTAGGAACCACATTTCGTAATCATTTAGATGCACCTATTCTTGACACAATTTCTGGGATTACTGCTACAACATCTTCTCATCTGTCGACGTCCTTGTTCCAGGAGACTATTGAAGATGATGAAATCGCAGTTATAGAAGAGCAGGTTATAGAAGATCTTGTTGATTTGTTAGATGGTGAAGATGACGACGATACTGCAGCTCATTATCAAAGTGATTGTGATGGTGGTAATGTTTGATGAACATTCCACAACATGAACTAGAACAAACTGTAATAATAGTGGTATTCTATATGTAGCGATTTATGCCTAGAAAATGTACAAATGTGTTAGTTTACCTCAATCCAGCGACAATGAGTGGGTGGCACCCCATGATACCCCTGCCATTGAGCAGTTAATACGGAACTCCTTCCGGGGGACTGGAAGCCCTGGTTAAAAATATTCTGCTAAACGTTTCTGGCATGGTGTCGCAACGGTGTCGCTTATGCAATAGTGACATTATGTTCAGAAACCATTTGATTCGAGCTTTGAAATGTTCTAAAATTTAAAGAGGTCCTGCAACATTTATTGCCAGTATAGTAATCAGAATATATGTTGACAAGTGCGTTATGAGTAATCCATAAGCAACCCGCAACTTAATAATAAAAGTAAACTAGAAATAATCAAAGATTTGGCACGTGCGTTCGATTTTTTTATTACCAAAATTTAATGTCGAAAACGAACGCGAAAATGTGCGCAACAATAAAAAATTTCCAAATAAAACGGAATAACACGATGTCGTTCCCATAATAACTTGAGAAATTACAGTACACTACAGTAGTAAGAAATTCCAAAACTAGTGTAAATACAAAATTTCAGAGCATTTGAATAAAATTAAGATGAACTTTGAATTCAGGGTGGGTAGATTTTATGAATAAATAAGCCAAATATATTAACATAACATTTGTTTTCTTTGTTTAAAACAAAGGAATCAAAGGGCCGCCAATAACAATGTTTGGCTTATTTTTTTCAGTAACTTACCAACCCTGTTTGAATTTTGGGGTTCGTGTCGCTCGTATCAGGTATAGACCTAATCACCTAAGAGGGCGAGCGTGAAAAGCACCCCAGATGAAAAGTGCGACTATCTTAACGAAACTTTGCACAACGTTTTGTATCACGGAAACTAGTGTAAATACAAAATTTCAGAGCATTTGAATAAAATTAAGATGAACTTTGAATTTTGGGGTTCGTGTCGCTCGTATCAGGTATAGACCTAATCACCTAAGAGGGCGAGCGTGAAAAGCACCCCAGATGAAAAGTGCGACTATCTTAACGAAACTTTGCACAACGTTTTGTATCACGGAAACTAGTGTAAATACAAAATTTCAGAGCATTTGAATAAAATTAAGATGAACTTTGAATTTTGGGGTTCGTGTCGCTCGTATCAGGTATAGACCTAATCACCTAAGAGGGCGAGCGTGAAAAGCACCCCAGATGAAAAGTGCGACTATCTTAACGAAACTTTGCACAACGTTTTGTATCACGGAAACTAGTGTAAATACAAAATTTCAGAGCATTTGAATAAAATTAAGATGAACTTTGAATTTTGGGGTTCGTGTCGCTCGTATCAGGTATAGACCTAATCACCTAAGAGGGCGAGCGTGAAAAGCACCCCAGATGAAAAGTGCGACTATCTTAACGAAACTTTGCACAACGTTTTGTATCACGGAAACTAGTGTAAATACAAAATTTCAGAGCATTTGAATAAAATTAAGATGAACTTTGAATTTTGGGGTTGGCGTCGCTCGTATCAGGTATAGACCTAATCACCTAAGAGGGCGAGCGTGAAAAGCACCCCAGATGAAAAGTGCGACTATCTTAACGAAACTTCGCACAACGTTTTGTATCACGGAAACTAGCGTGAATACAAAATTTCAGAGCATTTGAATAAAATTAAGATGAACTTTGAATTTTGGGGTTGGCGTCGCTCGTATCAGGTATAGACCTAATCACCTAAGAGGGCGAGCGTGAAAAGCACCCCAGATGAAAAGTGCGACTATCTTAACGAAACTTCGCACAACGTTTTGTATCACGGAAACTAGCGTGAATACAAAATTTCAGAGCATTTGAATAAAATTAAGATGAACTTTGAATTTTGGGGTTCGCGTCGCTCGTATCAGGTATAGACCTAATCACCTAAGAGGGCGAGCGTGAAAAGCACCCCAGATGAAAAGTGCGACTATCTTAACGATCTTTGCACAACGTTTTGTATCACGGAAACTAGTGTAAATACAAAATTTCAGAGCATTTGAATAAATTTAAGATGAACTTTGAATTTTGGGGTTCGTGTCGCTCGTATCAGGTATAGACCTAATCACCTAAGAGGGCGAGCGTGAAAAGCACCCCAGATGAAAAGTGCGATTATCTAAATATCTAAATTAAGATGAACTTTGAATTTTGAAAGTGACCATCATTATTTAAAATTGTCTCTCTCTTTTGTTATTTCTTTCACTGTATCTTTTGTTCTTCCTTGTTTTCTTCCTTTAGTTCTTCTTTTCGTTCTTCCTTTCTTTCTTTCTTTCTTCTTGTCTCTTTCCTTGCTTGCTTGCTTCCTTGCTGGGGCACACACACACACACCACTATCGCAACGGCCCTGCTTATTCGTTCCTATGTTATTCATGGGGTGTTTATATGGAAGAAGGCCAGCCCTCACTGGAGAGCTGGCCCTTGAAGAAGAGATCCCTCCTCCTTAGCCAGCCCCCCTAACAGGGCCAAGCCATCTCATATAAACACGAGCTGAAAGCCAACCGCCAGCTGAAAGGCCAATCCTCTTAAGCGGGCCAGCCTTCCCCATATATTAACAGCCCCTCAGTCTTGTCAGATTTCCCATCACTCGAGTAAGCACATTACCGAATTCCCTATATCATTTTGACACATTTACCCACAACATTCTACAAATTTTCATCTATTTCCATTTAATTCTTTAATAATCACTAGTCACAGAAACCGTATTCTATGCAGCGCTTCGACACGTAGCAAGGACTCTTCTAACCATATCTTTGAAATCAGTCGGTTAGCAACGTTTAAAATTGCAAAAATGTGACATTGCTGATACCATTTTTTCTACACATGCTTGGACCCCCACCCAGCATACAGTGCAATGGGCGTGGTCTGAATAACAAAAAACCCCATGAAAAAACCCCATGAAAGATGGACCATTAAATGTTCGTTTTGCAACTATCTATCGATGAATAGACAGCGAGTAACGTAGCCAATGACAACGCAACATTTGCAACAGTATAGATATTATGACTCACGTACCTATGTAGGTGTGTAATTACAACTTGCAATAGTTCTAGGCAGAACAATTTAGGCCTGTTTCAAAACGGCGAGTTTTCATGTGCCGAATTCAATTCATATTGAGCTCGACCAAGTTGGCTTGGTGATTCAAACGTCGAAAATAACAAAGTAGTCGAGCTTAACATATAGACTCAAGTCGATTGTTTGGGTTGGATGGGTTAGGCACATGGTAAACTCGCCGTTTGAAACAGGTCTTACGAAGGTTTAAAAAATTACTTATCAAAGCCATGTTTTCTCAAACACTCCTTTACAGAGTAGTCAAAATCAGCGGACACCGCAATGAGCCTCAATTCATCCTCTGTATCAAGGTGTTTTCTAACTCTAAGAGACCCAAGTTCGCTAAGATTGTCGTTGATCAAATTCAATGCCACAATTGATGCTTCTTGGGGCTCAACCAGTAACTTGTAGTGTAGTTCCTGTTCGGTCTTGTCAAGCCAGTAACCGCTAATTGGATCTTCTGGTTGTAGATTCTCAATCTCATCGGCGGTTCCGGGATGGTAAAACAACCAGTATGCATCACTGGTGGTTGTATACACGGGTAATATATACCCTTGATGACCCCTGCCTGCCTCAAAATTACTTTCTAGTGCGGTGATTGCATCTTCATGGAAGTAATCCCGCAATTGTGTAGTGAGAATATTGAACTCACTAGCGGTGAGGTCGAATTCGCATACTTCCAAATCCTCCTCTAAGATTTGGTGTTGGTTCGATAGGCTGGCTGTAGCGGTTTCTTCGGTGACTAATTTTACCAAAATTTGCTTGTGTACTGCAAGTTCGGCGACAGTGACTTGTGATGGCACTTTGACAGCAGGATTTTGTAAACAAAAGGCGATGTCATCAGCCTTGTTCATGATTTTCTGGATTTGTTTTTGCCCATAAGTGCTCGGGTTTCTAAACTCAATTTCATCAGGTAATCCTGAAACGACGAAACCACCTTTGGAATACGGCACTTTCTGTATGGGCTTTCCACATGCTTCACCTACGAAAAAAAGTAAAGCATATATATATAAGTATATATATGGCACGAAGAAGATTAAAAGTGAAGGGTATCAATACATACTATATACTCATTTTGCACAAACGTTTTCGCTTTTTTATTTAAGCTCCTCAGGTGCTATGAGTTATTTACAATCATTTGTAAATAACTCATAGCACCTGAGCAGCTTAAATACACTACACATACGATAAACACTACACATACGCAGACCCTCCTTACGTTTGATGTAAATTATTTTGACCAAGTAAATAACCGTTCCAATAAAATACTTGGCATTATATATTTAAGAAATAGAAAACATTTTCCGTGTTTCTATACAGTTATAGAAACACGCGTGGGAGTTTGGGAGAACTCGAAATAACGTGGAAAAACTCGCCCTACGGGCTCGTTTTCCCACTGATTATTTCTCGTTCTCCCAAATAACGTGGAAAAACTCTCGAAATAACGTGGAAAAACTCGCCCTACGGGCTCGTTTTCCCACTGATTATTTCTCGTTCTCCCAAACTCCCACAAGTGTTTCTATAACTGTATAGAAACACAGGAAAAAATGTTTTCTATTTCTTTTATAATATAACTCAATAAAAAGATTTTGTACAAATATTATAATTCGATTCAATTACAAATTCTCATTACATTACTTCGCTTGACCAGTTCGGCGGGAAAATTCCCGTGTTTCTATACAGTTATAGAAACACGCTTCTCGACCAATCAGCACGCGCGTACTATAAATGTTATATTATAAATGTATATATAATTATGTAGAGGTTATCATATGAGGAGTGAGGTGATATCACTTTTATCGCATGAGGAACAATATCACAAAATGTCACGAGTGAGCGAAGCGAGGGAGGGACATTTATGACATTGTCCTGAATGCGATAAAAGTGATATCACCGAGATTAGAATGTTGTCACATTACAATGTTATCACATTGTTATTCACATTACAATGTTATCACATTGTTATTCACATTACAATGTTATCACATTGTTATTCACATTACAATGTTATCACATTGTAATACGACGAGCTACCACATCCGAAAATATGTTGTATGAAACACAGTAAACAATAATTACATGTACTGTACATCGTACGTATGAAACTTACTGTACTTCCGACGAAACAATTCACGAACATCGTGCATGGTGTATTTGACACATTGTGGAGAATCTATGTAAGAAAAAACATATTCCATATATATTTCTGTATTTCTGTATTTCTGTATTTCTGTATTTCTATATTTTCTATATTTCCATATTTCCATATTTCCATATATATATATATATATATATACCTGGAGATAAGATCAAATTATCAAACTGTACATACCAGGCAACTTGGTTGTGTTGTTACAGGTGGAAGTCATGATTTATACGATTGTGTATTATCTTATTGGCTGTACACATTTACTTCTAAAAGTTTGTGCCACTACTTACTCATGTATTCCATAAACTTCAATGCAACATTTTGGTTTTCTTCTAAGAAATGTAGGCCTTCATTTGTCCATACTGCTGATAGCAAGGGGATTCCCCTGGCTCCAGAAGCAACACAGATGCTGTGCACCCCAGGCTTTCTAAATATGCAAGCTAAAAGAAGTAGACATATCATGGTTTAGTTACTAGTCCTGTCAGGACAAAAGCGGCTAAAGGAAGGTAGACACAATTCATTAAAATAGTCACTGTACTTGCATCTAATATGCATACTGCAATGGGTCTTCTTATAATTCCTTCATATTGAAACAATGCAGAGTATATTGTGTATTATTTGCTGATAACAATCAACAGTCAAATGCAATGTGACAAGGAAGGGAGGAAAGGAAGGAAAGGAAGGAAGAAGGAAGGAAGGATGGAAGGAAGGAAGGAAGGAAGGAAGGAAGGAAGGAAGGAAAGAAGGAAGGAAAGAAGGAAGGAAGGAAGAAAGGAAGGAAGGAAGGAAGGAAGGAAGGAAGGAAGGAAGGAAGGAAGGAAGGAAGGAAGGAAGGAGGAAGGAAGGAAGAAGGAAGGAAGGAAGGAAGGAAGGAAGGAAGGAAGGAAGGAAGGAAGGAAGGAAGCAAGCAAACAAGCAAGGAAAGAGACAAGAAGAAAGAAAGGAAGAACAAAAAGAAGAACTAAAGGAAGAAAACAAGGAAGAACAAAAGAAAGAACAAAAGATACAATGAAAGAAATAACAAAAAAAAGAAGAGAGAGACAATTTTATTTAATAATGGTGGTGAAACTGTATAAATGCCATTATATTACACGACTTTACAGTAATAAAGAGATATAAAAATTTAGGATTTCAGAAATGAAGAAAGATCTTTACTGGTTTGAGGTCAAGAAGCCTGTCATACACTTGTCTGAATGACGCTATTGACACCTGTTTTTGCATACCTGAGAAATTAATTGCTTCTTTGCCTTTTTGATCTTGGTATGGCGCTCTTTGTTGGAAAGGTCTATGGGATTTGCAGACTGAGCATCCTTTGCTTTTTTTTTCCAGCATTCTTGTTCTTCGACAGTCAGTGAGTTCCAGGTTGTTACAGCCATTTTTAATTTGTCAGAGTTATTGCTCAGCTCTTGGCATGTATCTGCCAAGAGAAATGTACATAATACTTTAGAAAGGTAGCAATTGTACAAGTACACAACCCCTCCTGAGAAATTATTGCATATGGTATAATGATAACTGGACCCCTGAACACAAATACCTGGCAACCCCGATGGTAATGTGAAATATTTAACCCAGAAACCAAGGTTAATATTGTAACACATGATTTTAATTGTATTCTTACCTGAATTCAGTATATATGAGCAAAACAAGTTGTACCCGGTGGTCTGTGGCTTGCTTCTGCAGTGCCTTTTTGTTTGTTGGTTTGTATCATCCAGTGCCTGCCCCGACTTCTTTCTTTTTCTCTCATTCCCAATCCATTTCTAAAGTTAAAATTGGGTTGGTTTAAATGTCTCATAATTAATTAATTATCTCACTATTTTCACAGTCAAATCTGCTATACAGGTAGGTTTTAAAAATTAGATGGAACATGAAATTCTGCCAGGGGTAAATCTCCCCTTGATGACAATAAAACTGTGTTGTGTTAGCAAGAGTAAAATCTATTAAGAGGCAGTTTCCTACTGGGAGCTGTAATGGATTACTTAATAAAGTTGTCTGGCCTTATCACTAATTAATTGTGCTGTGGCTGGATTGCAAGTAGTTAGCTGTGTTCACACTTCACATGCATTGACTAGTCTATTGAGTCAGGGGCGGATCAATGCTCATCTGACAGGAGGGGTGCAGATTTTCCTAGGGGGGTGCATCAGTGCGCTAGCAAAGCTTGCCCGGGGCCCCGGGCTGTTGTATATTTTTTAGGCATGAGTGAACCCAGCCCGTGTAATGAAAGTATTATTACTTTATTAACTTTTTTATATCTTTTTTTCTTAATGAATAGTGGTATAAAGTTATAAAATAAAAATATTATATAATATATAAAAATTATAAATTCTAGTTGTATTGCTGTACAATACTTCTTTGCAATATTTCAAATTTGTGCAGATGTTCAAGTTCTCAATTCTCAGGTTAGCAATAAGTACATTATACATTATATACATGCAGTTAGACTAGTTAGTAGTTAGTCAGTTCATGACTTAGACTTTAGCCCTCCTATTGCGCATGTTTCCCCATGCTGTTACGACTTCGTCCAAATCCAGTAAATCAGCAACATCTCTGTTTAACGAAATGCATAAAAGATCACTTAATCTTTCTGGAAGAAGGGTGGATCGTAGCTTCGTGCAGACACGATTCATGCCGGAAAATGCTCTTTCCACTGAAGCGGTTGATGTCGAGATGGTGTTCTTAACTGCAATTAAAGTGGTTAAGTTCGGAAGCCTGTTTGGATTTATTGGTAGACCAAGACGATAATCAACTTCAGCTCTTTCGATTTCTAGTTCGAGGATAGATCTGTTAATGTTGAGACAGCTGAAGGTATTCAGTAGCACATCTAGCTCACTTAAGTTCAAGTAGGTATCTGAACCTGCATTAAGAGCATTGATAGCTCTAAGGATGTCTATGTTCTTGGAGTCAAATCTGACATTGAACTCATCGTTGAGTTTATTTTTCAGCTCTGCATTGAGATCTGCAATAAATTCTTTTACCTGATGATCCTGATCGTCGGGAGTCATAACTGTTGTAGCTCTAAGGTTGTGGATAGGCATTGTGTCGCAGAGAGCTAAGGGATTTCCAGTCTTTCTTGAAATTTCTTTCGACGCAATGAATATGTCCTCATCTTTAATGTTGTTAATTAAGTCCCGAGTTCGGGTCAGCTCGTATTGAACGTCCGTCCAATCAATTTTTTCGGTCTGAAGTTCTTTATTAAGGAAGTATAGCTTGCCGAGATACTTATGAAGTGTTGTCAGACCCACGATGAACTTTCCTGACATCAGTTTGTGGTACAGTCCAGCTGCTGTTTCTGCCTGTGACTTCGTATACTGATACTCATCATCTTCATCACTTCCACCGGGGTTGTTTGCCACATCTATCAGAGTCGTGAGGACAACATCAAATCTTTCAGATATAACATTAACGGCTTCGTATTTGCATCCCCAACGAACATCGATTTGCTGCACAATATGTTTAACTTGTTTGCCAGGATACATTTCTCTGTGGAGTGATTCGTACTTTTGTCTGATCTTCGGTTTATTAAGCAGTGTATGGCAGGATTTTATTGTGGTCATAACATCCATTGACGACAAAGATGCATTTAGCATGTCTCCTACAACCAAATTCAAACGATGGGCAGTACAATGGATGTAAACTAGCCATTCAAAATACCTTGATCGAAGCAGTTCTGCGACTCCTGCTAACCAGCCAGACATCACGCTAGCGCCATCTGCGCCGAGGCTGATAATAGGCGATCCGTTGGATTTCTGCTGTACGTCAGAGATCAGGTCTTTCGTAACTGCTGAGATAGCTTCTGCATCAAATTTGGTGAGTGCAGTCATGGATAGAAATCTCTCTTGTACCTTGTTGGTGTAGTAACGAACAGAGAAAGCAAGCTCTTCCCTCTTGCCTTTGTCTTTGCTTTCGTCGATCAGCGCACTGAAGCACCCGGCAGTTTCGATCTGATGGCATATCTCTTTCCGTATCTGAACCGCGAGTACAGACAGCATTTCATTAAGAGACGTTTTACTGGTGTAGTCAACAAGAAGCCTTTTTTCTGTTATCGCTTGGTGGAGACTTCGAAACTCCTTGTTGGTCTGTAATTGCATCTTGATAAACGTTGTCCAGTTGCCTGGGTTTTTCGAATCAGCTGCCTCGTCGTGGCCCCGGAATGCTATTTCGTTCGTTGCAAACCAAATTACGTACTGGAACAGAAGTTTAAAGTAATCTCTGTTATTTTGAGTTGTTTTCGCTTGATCGGGAACCAGTTTCTCAAGTATACTTGTATCTATTCCGTCTGATATTCGGGCCTTTGCTTTCCATTTCTCGTAGCAATTTTTGTGAACTTCTGATTTCTGGTGTTTCGTAAAACCTTTGTCCTTATCTAGCGCATTAGTCCACTTTCTAAAGCCAGTTACGGTAAATGTGGTGTCTGCGGAATTTCTTGAGCAGAAGTTTTTACAAGCAAAGCAAAATGCTGCATCGCTTTGAACATTATACTCTAGCCAGTCGAAGCGGTTGTACCAGTTTGCGTTGAAAGATCTCGTTTTTTTGCTTGAAAAGTTTGTATTTATTGGAAATTTCTGGAGCTTCGGTTGTGATGGTTTGTCCAATTCTTGATCGAGATCACAGGAGCTTGCTTGGCTAGTTTCAGGGGTGGATCTCTCTTGAGTCTCTTCAGGATCACAAATTGTATGAAGTTGAACTCCATCTGGTTCAGCATTATCCCGCTCAGCATTGTCTCGTCCAGTCTCATGTTCATCTCGTTCATCTTCAAGTTCTGGATATTGATCTTGATCAATTGCCAGTTGTGCATGTGGGTTCGATTCTGGAACTGAAGAATAGTGTGATCAGCAACATACAGTCGAGTCGGCCCAATTTCTCAATAAATAATATTGCAGAATACTGTGATGACACTAACCTTTGTTTTTCTTGTGGAAAAAATCTGTAAGCGACGGTTGGCGCCTTTTCATTGTTCTCTCTACTCGGTTTGTCCAACAATTCGCAAATGAAAAATCACTCACGTTGTGTTTTGGTATTGAAAACAAAAGATTTCACAAAATTCAGCTATATTAGATGTTCTTCAGACTCTTCACGATTCACTAACACTCATGAATAATGTATAAAGTGACCGGCTTTTATACCGACCGTTAGGGTAAAATATGACTTAATTAACCAAAAATAATCTGACATAACACACTATGAGTAAGCAAATTCCATTAAAGGCCAATCGCAAAGTTGAACCATGTGTGATTACATCATACACAGGTACTTAAATATTGCATTGTCACGCAGTTGGCATGCAACATTATCTGGCGAACGTAAACAAGGTCAAAGGTCGAACATTTGATATGCGAATGACTGTCGGAAAATACTAAAATTACACAAAGTTAAAATTCTATGTAGCCTTTGTAGGATCTATTCTTCAATCTTCAAACTTTTTGGAGATGTTAACATCAAATGTATTTATAGTTACACTAAATTTTTTGGCAGTGTTGTAAATAACAACGAAGATATACGCAAAGTAAAAATTTCCGTAAACATTTAGAATTTTTTTTGGGGGGGTGCTAGAAAATTTTGGGGGGGTGCGCACCCCCCTGCACCCCCCGAGAAAATCCGCCCCTGTATTGAGTACCAGCAAAACCTGTCAGATCAGTACCGGTAGTCTTACTTTTCAGTATCGGCAACCTGTTTCAAGCTTTCCAGGGAACAATTTGTACTTGTCAAGGGGAGAAACCCAGAAAAACTGCTGATAAAGGGTTAATTTGGTTATAAGATAGAGACAGCAGCAACCATGATAGTAAACATCATTGATGATGATACATATTACTCATGGAAATCCATTTGGCAGCAAATAGCTGGACATTGACTCGGTTAAATTTGTGAATGCTTTGGCAGACTATTAAAATCAGTAAATGCAGTGTGAGCTGTGAACATTGCAGCTTTATTAGTTACATAACTGATCACAAAATATGTAATACTAATAAGTTAACCTTGCTACAACTACTGAACTACACTACAGTACTTCCGAGTTAAATCTCATATACTGTACGTACCGTAGCAGACATTGAAAATTTGAATAAAGCGATCAGTAATTATACTGACTACTGAGTCAGAGTGCACGAGAATTAAGTAAAATGAATGATAATGCCATGGAAATGGTGGTCGAACATCGTACGCACTGGCAAAGCGCGTCGGTACAAGTCTATATAAATATAGTTTTGTAGTAATAAATGCAAATTTATTGAAATTTAGCCTTTGGCTCCACCGTCCTAGTATTTTGTTGGCGCACATAATGATAAATAATCAATGACAATATCAGACATACAATATATATAATACAAAGAAAACTTACCCTCACACGCGCAACGCTAACATTTGTTTTTACTGCAGCTTCTTCTATTAGTTCCTTCACATCTTTGCGTGTCGTTGTCATCCCTCGCTCGAAGAAACCACGCAAAATCGTTTTTTGGTCATCGTCTAATAGATCGTACTTCTCCGAACGTTCCGCCATCTTGCACACATGTGGTCGAAGCCCGTTGTGGGTTGCTCAGGTTGCAACTCAGTGACGCTATCGAGCGCTGTTCTAAATTTTAGAATATACGCTCTATAGCGTTTTAGAATAGGTGAAACGGGTGGCAGTCAAAATGTATTATTGTTAAGTAATCTACAAGAATATTATGATAGTTTAAAATTTATTTGCTTCTGGAAAATCAAAAACTTTGCCGAAAAATCGCGCCGCGTTGTCAAATCGCGTCTGGTCTGTGTGGGCTTTAATTCGGTGTAAAGTGTAATTCTTGAAAGTCTAAAGCTTATTATATATATAGAGTCGACTGCAATCATTGCATAAAATCAATATATCGAAATATAATATTCGACATTTAGTGAAATATTACCTCTCACATAAACTGTGGCTAAATGCAGCAGGAATACTGGTGACACCGCGACTTCACCCTTACGATTGTGTTTGTTTCCAAAAAATTTCAAATATCAGCTATCATAGGCGGCTATGGGCTTATTTATAAAGTCATTTCATAATATAAGCTTATATAGAGGGTTAGGTATGGCTAATTCGGGAAATATATTGATTCGCGCTTAAAATGACGAGGGCATGCATATATATTTCTAGTATACATTTATATCCGATTATGAGCATTGAGCATGTAAATTAGCTGGCACAATTATTTGTCACTTTTGGAAAATAAAAGGCTTTGAATCATCGCGCGGCGTTGCCAAATCGGATCTGGTCTGTGCGCCAAATCGCGTTCTGTCTCTTAATAATTTATTCACTTTCACCGAAATGTCTTAAGATAAGGCGAAAGTGAAGTCTTTCATCTTTCATCAAAAAATTTCACCTTAAAGCATTACGTTGGGATTTGTTACGTAAAATCAGAAGATACAATATCTTCTGACAAGTCTAACCCCCCCCCCCCGCATGTCTCTGTCAAAGATATTTCAAGCTGCGGGATATTAATACATTTTATTGCACGCATGGACTCACTAATTCTAAACCAATACTAATTTGCAAGCAAACCTAAGATAATTATATGCTCACATCTTTTATTGCTGTTCCCCAACCATCCGTTCTCCATAACACCGTATTCGTTATTCTCACGTGTGCTGATGTATGTCATAAAATTCTCAATAACACCAATATATTTAACTGCGGAAAATTACCCTGTGATCTTGACATAATGATTTATGTAATTACCATATAAAAATTAACGGAAAATTTAATCGCACGACGCTAATACATGAGGGAAATAAATTTACCTTTGAACGCCACGAGAGATTTCAAAATAAAAGCTAAAATGGGTACATGAAAAATGGCGGCGGAACTGGCATTCAAAACCATTCTTACTTTTTCTTGCAAAACCACTTTCAAACATGCACAATATATTGTTCGTAAACATATTGAGCATATCCTCCCCGGTATGGTGCGGACAGGGCCCCAAACCAATAAACTATATTATTGCCTTAAATATCATAAGTAATGTTTGTTTTATTCAATAAATGTTATTTTAGAAGATTCAATTATTTAAGTTTTTGGTTTAGTCAAAATTTACCACATATGAATACATATATACGTGAGATAGAATAGAAACGTGAAATACTATATTGGTTAAACACTCGGAATGGAACTGAAAGGTCGTCACAATCATGCAGCATACCGTAATAAAGCCGGGAATAAGTTCTTTAAACTCCTTCTTTAACATAAAACCTGCCCAAATCGCCAGAAATCGGTATAATGATAACGTAGTCGACGTCCAATTCACAGTTGAGTAAACTGGCGAATAATTGAATCAAAACTTGACCTCTGATGAAGCCTGTCACTGTATGACTCATCGCTTAAGCAAAAAATACTGTACTTGTTGCGGATGTGTATATCTATCTCAAAGTCCACGAGGTTAAGCCAATATTTTGACAAAGAAATGTCGGTTTGTAAAACTTTGCCTATAAAGAATTGCCCATTAAGAAATGCTTGATGCATATAAGGCGTGGGTGTACATATACAGGGTGTCCCAAAAAAATGTCCCCTCTATTGAAATCAAGCCTTTGTTCGAATCTGATTGCCTTAATATTATGATAAACCCAATTGAAAGCAAGACGCTTTATTTGAATGCCTCAACCTAATAAATATGCTATTTACACACTACTGCGTTGATCATGCATTCAAATTCCAGCAAAAGCTTCATTTCAATAGCGGGGACTTTTTTTTGGGACACCCTGTACAGGATGAGTAAAAAAAACTGACACCTTTGAAATTCAAATTAGCCGCGAACTTATGGCTACGACATGTTTATATTTATTTATCGTTGCGCGAATTGACGTACTTGTTTCGTACGTAAAATGTAACAAATAAAAAATAAACCTTTTTTCCACTAGCCGGTTGCCATGCTTGTGCGCTAGTGGTTTTTTAAATAACCATTGCATTGAGCGAAAGCCTTTGAAGTAAAAATTCCATAGCGTGTTATTAGTTGCTGATTGTTAACAAGCTAATTTGCCACGACAAAAATTACAAGAATATTTTCATGGTTCGACAGCCTTATTAAAATTAATAGTCAAAGATAACACATCCGCCACAACGGCGACGAATAAGAAGTTATAAAATAATTTCCCCTGCAAAATCAGACAAAGAAAATGCCTCTTTTGCCTCGAAGAGAAGCTCCTAGGCTTGAAAAGACGGAGAAATTTTTTTAAAAACGATCTGAGTTTGCAAACAAATGCCGTCACGAAACTTAACACAACTTATAAGGTTGTGAATAAATTTGTGAATAATTGAATTACCTGCCGATTGGAAGGAAACCGAAAACGAACTCATAATCAAAACATTATTATAGTTTCTTCGTGATTTAGGTTATAAAAAATTATTGAACATTAATATTGCTGGTTTTCCTTTGCATTTAGCTAGAAATCGTCACTAATTAGGCATGAGACGTGTACAAAAGTTAAATAAATCCTCCATATGTCTTTGTGAAACAATAATTTCAAGTATAATCACCGCATTATATGATAAAATTAGCTGACAGGCAAATCAGTGCATTTTCCGTCGCGTTCGAGATAACAAAACAAACAAATAACTACCATTCCATCAAATTTCATTCTCAAGTTATTCTATGCTAAGATGTACCATAATAGGTAAACTATTTCTTTATTAAATACATCTTTTTGTCTGCAAACCGTAAACGCGGTGCATATTCCCTGTGACGCAGTATATTAAGATCTACCGTCAAGGACAACATTAATTTATTTTCGGCTGGAACGTTCACGTCAACGATTTCGTCTGACCAGGAAGCTCTGCACAGTCTCATCGGACAAATGCTGGACATGAAAATGAATTAAGATCGATTTAAATAAAAACTTTTACAAATTTATCCAAATTACGAGAGGCAGGGTTTAAAATCCAAAATATACACATCTACTTTAAAATCATGCATTCATAAAATTCATTCAAAATCCCCGGTAAACGCCGACAATAAATTATATTTTAAGTGGATATTTACTACAACAAAATTTTAAGAAATCTGTTCAATCATAAATATAGATGAACAGACTTGACAATATCTAAACTTTACTTAAAATTTCACTCATTGGCATTTTTCACATATAGCTTAATTTGAAGCTGCTATAACCAATGAAAAATGCATATACCAAGACTCTCCCCACACAATTTAATTATACTGATTTTTAGCGATGTCTAAATAAACAATATAATCACTTTCCATGCTTTTGGCGGTCAGAACTACATACTCATGACATTTGAAGAGTGCACATTGCCCACATATAGTTTTAAAGAATTGTTTGGGAATTTCTGAACCGTTCAACTCTAAATAATATGTATACTTCAAAAACTCACATTTTATTAAGAATTACTTGAATTGGGCAGTCATGCGAGTCTGTAAAATGCCCTGATAAATAAAGCCAGGCTAGCATATGTCAATAATCCCAGTTAAAGTTCCCAAAGTTACTGACATCAGCATTATTTTTCTTCCAGAGATTTTTTGTCCTCTTAGAAAGATACAATAACAATGTTTGTAGTAAAAACCCCGTAAATATGAGGACCTTTAAAGATATATATTTGAGAATAATGCTGTGTATGTGTAGTAATCTTTGCCTTTGAGAGAGTAATTGATTTCTGGGAAGTTGCATTTCAGGAACTTTTGTTCCAAGAATTGGAACTCCATTAATTAGAACTCGAACACTTTAAGAAGCGGCCTCTGCGATTACATAAAACGCTTTAGTCGTTTATTTAGTAAATTCAATCAGAAGCTGAAACTTCTGCAATAAAATTCACTGAGACCTTGAAAATAAGACAATGTAAAAAGAAGCAATTAATGCACTTCTACAGCATTACTTATATACTAGACAGATTTTCCTTTTCCAAATACCCTAAAAAAGGAGCTGAGGAAATAGGTGAATGTATTCTATTTCCAGTGGTTTTTGCGATGTCTGTCAGGCCACACCCTTGGGGCTCAAAGCAATGGTAATAGGCCCCAGTTGGGTTAACAAGTGCCACCAATGTTGTTCTCGAAAATGCTGGGAAATGCCTACCATCAATCCAAAGGCTCTGCCATTTAAGTCGTATGTCACACGTCCCCGTCATCGTAGCCCCTGGGAATGCTTCGGCAGCCGAGTGACAGCGGAGGATAACCTTTTAACTCTTCACAGAGGTAATCTTAACAGCGGGCAACCCATATGACTGGATTGAGCAATGGACTCATTTAGTAATGAAATGGAACGATTGACAATTGATGCTATATCATCGAGAGATGATTTATAGAAATAATTTTAAGAAGTATGATTGCAATTCTATTTGACCAATTTTTATCAATATTGTGTTTTTATAGGCAAAAGTATGAATGCTAAAAATAAAGGTAAATTATTAAACTGATTATATCGCAATAAATCTCACTACTGTAATAGTGATGAAGTAAAGGTGCATGTGATTTAAGCCGCGTTTTACTCTGCGTTCTTTGACATGGCCTGGACCAAGCCTGGCCCTATAGGTGTAGACGTTTTACAAATCTAGGCCTGGAACACGATTTTTGTAATGAGACCTAGTCCTAATCAATTCTCAACCAGTATATAATCCGTACAGGATCCATACTAGTATTACCACTTTTCGGTGTCT